AAAATACTTTGCGTTGTTCAAAATGTTCCCTTCTGATCTGTTTTTTTTTTAATTGGTTTCAGCTTCAAATCAACCAGTCAATTATTTTTTGCAATTCTGTGAATCGTGTTGAGTTGCTAGCTAAAAAAATAACAGAACTTGGGTATTCTTGTTTTTACATTCATGCAAAGATGCTGCAAGATCACCGCAACAGAGTTTTCCACGATTTTCGTAATGGGGCCTGCCGAAATCTTGTGTGCACTGGTATGTCTACCTTTGTGCTTCGTTTGCCTTTACTCGAAAAGTTTGTGTAGAGGCTGCTGATTAACATCAATTATTGACTTTTGAGTTATTTAGAATTTAGTTGAACTTTTTTCTATGATTTAATTAGCTAGCACATTTAGCTTCACTTCACCTTTATTTCTAATTCCTTTCTGTTTATTTTTTCATTGGGGTGGTGAGGTATTTAAGGATAAGAATTTTTTTTGTGGCAAATCACACATTTTTGCAACGGTACCTAGGTTTTTCCAGTAATAAATTTAAATCTGGATGTATCTCAAAGTGCTTGATAAATTAAAAAGATATGTTCTACAGAATAGTGTAACAAGGTACCGAAGTTTCCTGCTCTGCTTAAGTGCATGGCGTTTTATATGACAAAGCTTGTATATAGTAAATAACTCATTCTGTATAGAACATTGGGCACAGTTGGGTTTGACACTTGCTTATCTGCAGCTTCATCCGAGTTTTCAAGCCCTAGGGCCTAGTATTTTCCACCTTATTGGCCATTTTGTTTTATTGATTCAACGTATTGTATACTGGTTTGCATTTCGTACTTCATTATGAAATTTATTCTTCCAGTTGTATTGTGTTACTTACGCAGTGCTTCTTTGATCTGCTGTGTCTGTTGCTGGACTATTCTACAACTGTGCATGAATCCTTATTTTTGGATTTGTCTTGCTGTTACACACACTTTAATCAGCTTCTTGCTATCGTCTTTTGATCGTTTTGTGGTTTGGAATTACATGCAGATTTATTTACTAGGGGAATAGACATTCAGGCCGTCAATGTTGTTATCAATTTTGACTTCCCAAAGAATGCTGAAACCTACCTCCATAGGGTATGTAGTAAGTAGATCTTGGGTATTTTGCTCTTGTTATAATTTCAATATGGTTATTGACATTGTTGTTTTGATCCAATTGTGTACAGGTTGGTCGATCTGGCAGGTTCGGCCATCTTGGTTTAGCAGTGAATTTAATCACTTATGAAGACCGTTTTAACTTGTATGTATCTTGTCCTTTGAGTTCATATTCTTTTACATGCTTCGCTTTTGATATATTTTTTGTTCTAATATTTTTGATTTTCTACAACAGATATAAGATTGAGCAGGAACTTGGAACTGAAATAAAGCAGATTCCTCCACAGATAGATCAAGCTATCTACTGTCGTTAAGTAGCTGAGTTTAACCGATGCTGTACTCTATGGGTGAATAGATGCTGGTCATGGTAAGTCTATTTCCAATCCTGTATATGTGCACCGTCCCTAGGATCTCTTTGCATTTATTTGTTGTTTCCATTTTGATGATGTTTTGGTAGTTGTGTCTTGTCCCCTCTTGAAATAAATGCGACTTTTCCTTAAGATTTGATCTTATGATGAATATCTTTCAAAGATGATGTGATGTGTTGATAAGGAAAAGTACTGTTGTTAAGATGAAAGAAATGGTATCTACTTTAGGCTAGCATCTTTTATGTTTAACTAGGTTTTTGGCAAGGGATTGTTTCCTTCCATACACATCTTAGACCCGCCTTGCATTTCATTCTCTCATTTTGTTCTATATTTTGAGATCCTTGGACTGCTTAATCTGCTTTGTGTTTATCCTCGTAATTCAGCCTACAGACATGAAATTGAGCATTTAGTTTTTGCTGATTATTAATGTTTAGTGTCTAAGACTAAGAATTTCATAGTTGGATGAATACTTATGTGCTCTTTCTCAGGTATGTGGATCAAGATCGTATTTTCCCAGCTCAGCATCAGAATTGTGATTACTGTAGAATTTTGGGTGATGTCTAGTTGTCCTGTCGTCAAGTGTCTTGTGCAGATCTTCACGGAATGTTCCCTACTACTACTAGATAGTATTGTGTAGGAAGGAGATATTTTCAAGAATAATTTATTAAGAGATGTAGTCAGAATGTTGCTCTGGGGTTAGATGCCTGCATTAACTGGCTGGAAGGATGTTCCATCCCTCCATCTGACTTCCATCAACAACCTATTAGCTTGTTTCCTATCGTTTGTTGCATTTGCCGACTGAGGTAGTTGGATTCTTGATGTTCTTTGTTTGTCGTGGCAAAAAAATAAAGCACTCCATGTTCTTATGGAGTGGAGTTTTTTAGATTGTGTATAGTACTACAACCATCTTTACTTCCGTATTTCACTTCTACAAGTTCCTTGCTGGGGGGTGTTTATAGTGCATAAAGGAAGGGGAAAACCGTAGACGATTAATTCACAGGGAACACAAATATTCCTGTTTGAAGGCTGCCTGAGGGCTAGTCATTGCCGTTGCTGCTGGTTGCTTTTTGTGCAACAAGACTGTTGTCCTTGGTTCGAATTACATGAGATCATAGGCAAGTCTTCTTGACAAAACATCCTGGTAAGACTGAAAAAACCCCTTTGTAGACCAAGTTATTTTTCACCCCTAAGAAAATAGTTCAATTTTCTTTCAAGCACGGGCAATAACATGAGATCTTAAACGATTTCAGATACAAAGTATTTCATATATGTTGCATTTGCTACATGTATTGAATAGCTTAACTTATATAGCTGAAATATTGTTTAATTATGAATCATTTTCCTTGCCTTACTTGAAGTTGTAAACATATATGCTTGTACATAGTCATATTTGGACTTTATTATAGTCGTATAACATATAATCCCATCGTTTATTATTAATTCATTTATTTCTTACTAGTGCATCATAAAATCTTAAATTCTTAGGAAAAGAGGCCAAAATTGATCCATTATCACTCACGCCTTAGGTTGACTAGAGAAAATAAGGTGGTCAGAGTGGTGATAAAACTCTTTGCCTGAATAAAGCTTAAACAGTGAAGAGTCGTAAAATTCATGGGTGTTGCTTATAATTTACGCATTTTTAGCCTTAACCTTGGTCTACAAGCAAAATAGGCCAGGGTGACCAAAAAAATTAACAGTACGTATAGTTACATTTATGGGTACTTGTGTGTTTTCTGCCCTAAAATTGACCACATTTATTATGTTGTGATCATTGAATAATTGGTGTCATCTTTGATTCTTTGAACATACATGCTCAATACTGACGCCTCAGAGACTAATCCATCTATACTACTATACTAGTGAAATTGATAATTTCAAATTTTTACAAGTAAATTTATAAAGCACTTAATGTCAAGCGTTGTTTGATGTTAATGAATGTAACAATTAACAATTGTTACTTTTCTAAATCGTTTATATGAACCTTAAGCAAATAGATTGCAGAATAAATAATCATATAGCTTAGCGACACAAATTCTGTAGTTACTTTTGTTGGTATTTTTTTTTTATTTTTTATTTTTTATTTTTTTTTTTAAAAAAATAAATCTTTCTTCATTAGGGTGGCAGCGACACTTTAAGTTTATGGAGTTTTGTGTGGTTTGTAGAGTACTTGTTCATAGTTTTGGTTTTGCAATTTGGTCTTACAAATCTCTATTCTATAATTTAATTCTTATACAATTTTACCAATTTAAATTTATCACTCTAAACTTAACCAAACAATCCACATTTTTATGGGTTATGACTTATGAGTAGTCAATTTCAGGGTTTTAATAGATTAGTATTTCTCTAAAGAAAGCCAACCCTAAACGCCATAGACAAAGGACAAAGTTGTTTTGGTTATTTGGCATTTTAAATTTTCAATTGGAATCATTTTCTACTTTTGGAATTTCATTAATAAATTATTTTAGGAAAATTTGCAAATTACCACCCAAAAATAGTATCAATTTCTAAATAACCACCCATTAAAAAATTTATTTTAAATTACCACCCACTAAAATATTTAATTACGCAGATTACCACCCTTTTTAAATTTCCGGTTGATTTCAGGTGTGTGGAGCCCACAGTCGCTATTGCCCTCCTAATTTTTTTTTATTTTCTATCGATTTCACTATTGTAAGCTACTCCTCTCTCAATTCTCTCAGTCAATTCTCTCTGCAAATTCACCTAACTCCATAAATTCTCACCCACTCTTCAAATTTAGATCCTAAATTGCAGATTAAAACCCTAAATTAGTTTAAGTTGAGAGAAAAATTTGCTCCTGCGTAATTGGGGTTTAGCTTGAAGGTTGTTTGCGAAAATCACCATTGTTAGGACGTCTGCTGGGGACCACGTGCTGAGTTCATTCACCTGACAATTGCTTGCTGTCAATGGCGACGTCAGAGGTTAGCAATTAATCAACAAGTTTTCCCCAATTTCAGCAAGTTTTCCCCAATTTCAGCACAATTAGAACCCTAAATTTCAGCACAATTAGAACCCTAAATTTAAAGAATGTAATAGGTTACTTGATGCGAATTCACCTCTGAGGTTTCTTCAAGATGTTACAGCAATTACAAGGGGCTGAAATTTGAGGAATTTGGGGAAATTTTGAAGTCCAAATCGCAAATTAGGTTAGGAGAAATGTTATATAGGGGGAAAATCGGGGGGAAATTCAATTGGGAAGGAGAAACTAGCCGTTAGGAGGGCCCCACTCATCTGAATTCCACCGGATTTTGAAAAAAGGTGGTAATCTGCATAAAAAAATATTTTAGTGGGTGGTAATTTAAAATAAAATTTTAAATGGGTGGTTATTTAGAAATTGATACTATTTTTGGGTGATAATTTGCAAATTTTCCATTATTTTATTTTATACACATAAAAAAGATGTTCTATAGCTTATTGTGATACTTTTGGAGTATCACACACACCATACTCTAGTTTAAAGACCATAAACAACTCATGCATGAATCAACATTAACAATTGTGTGATAAGTAATGGGTGAGTTTGGGTGAAATGACCCAATGAAGGATTCCTCACACTTATATATGACCCATGAATGCTAAATTGCTGATTGAAATCACATCTTGACATGCAGTACCACAAAATCCCAAGATAGCCACGATATTGAACCAAACTCATTATCAAGACTTTTTATAGACTTATTGATTGGAGAGTGAGGGATAGCTCAAGTGGTTAGAATTTCCATCCTTGTTTTAAGAGATCCTGGGATCGATTCTCACCCCCGCCCTTATGACTCTCTAAACACAAAAAAAAATAGACTTATTGATTGGCCTATTATAGTTTTAAACTAGCTAAACTAGCCAAGGTCTGTTATAGTTCTTAAGGCAACACAATACGCGACCTTCAAATTGTCACTTTTTTTTCTTTTTTTTTTCGAACGAGGTGTATTTATGCCTTTAGCTCATGCCTCGTGCCCATGGCCAGGCCATAGCATGCCATTACCACATCGCGTCCCTTGACTCTGGCACTAGCATCCGGCCCCCAGGCCTTGGCTAGTTAGCTTTAAAACATCAACACCTTAGGTTAGCTGCCCTTGTTCATATTGGTGTTACACACTCCATTATCCAAAATGATCCGATCCTTCTTGATCCGACCTGAACCCAACCGATAACCAAATTAACCTTTTATAGTCTTATTACTACCACTAGTCCACTACTACTATTTGACCAACAAAAACAGAGAAAAGCAATACACGACCGTACTACCCTGCTACCAAAATTAAATGTGCATGTTTTGGCAACTCTATTACCTTTACCTCTGTCTTTTCTTATCTTCCCATACCTCCTTTTCTCATTTATTGCTTCCCCCCTTTTTTTCTCTCTCTCTTATTTATTGTAAATTTCCCCTCTTTTTTTTCTTTTCTAATTTTTGAATAAATAAAACCTCTGTTCTCTCTTTTCCATCTTTCTCTCTCCTCTCAAATTGCATTGATTTCTGATAACCCTTATTCTACTGTATTTTTCTTTTTCTTTTTTTTTTTTTATTTATGATTTCATTTCATCAAAAAATTCACTGTTCACCATTTGAATGATGTAATGTAATATTAAAAAAGCAAGTAATATCATTTAATGCAAGAGTTTTTCTCTCTCTGTTTTTTTTTTTTCCGTTGTTGCAGAAAAACAGAGCACAGTTTTTTTTTTTCAGCTTGAAACTCGCTGATTGTACAATTCTCTTTCTCTCTCCTCTGATACACAAACAATTATTTCTTCATTTTCCCAAGATAGATATTGCCCAATTCCACTTTTTCTCATTTCTTGGTTTATATATACATTTAATTCACCTCTTTGGCAAAATTTATTATCCCCCTCCCCTTTTCTTTTCTTTCCTCTGTCAAAGTTCTAAGCTTTTGAATGAAAATTTTCGAAATCAAATTCTGGGTTTTATTAATTTGATGATTTGATTTCTGGGTTTTTGTTCACTTGATAATTAAGTTTTTGGCTTCCATCAAAAACTCTGTTTTATCACTCAAAAGTAAGGAAGAATCAGGAGAGAGAAAATGGGAAGATCTCCATGTTGTGAAAAGGAAGGGTTGAAGAAAGGACCATGGACAAGTGAAGAAGATGAGTTGCTTGTTAAATATATCAACAAACATGGTCATGGAAATTGGCGATCTCTTCCTAAAAATGCAGGTTTTATTTTCTATTCCTCTGTTTTTCCCCTGTTTTTGATGTTAGGGTTTTTGGAGGGTTTTAGCATCGATTTTTTGAATGAATTAAGCCGCCAAAAGTAGAGTATTTGCTTATCTTAGCTAGAAGATTGTTTATGATGTAAGAATAATATATTTTGGAGTATTATGATTTCCAAAACATTAGTATTTTTTTATCTTTAAAGTTGAACTCTTTTTTGGGTGTTTTTTTTGGAAATAAATTTAGCAAATTTGCAAAAAGATTGTCATGGGTGATGGGTACACTACTAGAGTGTGTTTGTGGACTATGGTGGTGCACTTTATATATTCCGATTTTTAAAGAAATCGACATTAATTATTGGTGGTAGATGATGTTAGGAGAAAGTTATTACTCAGTAGTATTTGTCTTTGTTTTTTTTTTTAGAGGAATTAAGATTTGTATTTCTTTTCAAGGAATAGTGCATAGATTTTTATCTTAAGGATTGAAGATTTAATGAGTTTTGATTTGAAGATTTCTTAAAAAAAAATTCTTTTTAGTGGAATTATAATTCTTCACCTCTCTTTGCTAGAGAAATGGATGACCTAAATTAGAGAAGAAATTGCCAAGTAAAGTCCACTAATAGTAGTCAAATTCCCAAAAAATTTTCTCAAAATACCCCCAAGAGTGGACTCTTTAAAGTGAAGTTATGCCTATGCCTATTTTTGCTCACCAATTAGCAAATTGTGTAGTTTAAATTTTGGTCCTTATTTTTAGTTGTCACAATTATAAGTTTAAGAAGAGAAATTGGTTAGACAAAGTGTTAGTTGAGTTGTACTATATATTTAAAAAATTACAATTTGGCTATATTTGAGGATTGCATGACATAATTGATCTTTTGATGACAACTTTTATTGCTGCTGAATTAATAGCAAAATGTTAAACAAGTTCTTGAAAATTTGAGATTGATTGATGTACTTGCAATATAATGATAGACTTCCATTAGATTGTTAATTGTACAAGTTGTACAATAGAGACCTTGTCCATGATTACGCGGTTGTGGAGATGAGCTAAGGCTCCAGTGCCATTAATTTTTCTTTGTACTTTCGGTTTAATATTGCCTTAAAAAAGACAATAGATTAATCTCGAGATATGCATATTTTCATTACATTTCGCGAAATAATCTGACTTCAGGTTTAATCCGATCTGTTGAGGTTCTTGGTTGTCATAGTGTGTTTACAGTAGCAAAAGATGAAATGAACAACACATTGTTGTGTTGCTTGTTAACATAATAACATGCTTTGCAAACATCCATCTCTAAATTTCGTGTTTAACCTTTTCTCTTAACACAATGTTGTGTTGCTAGTTAACATGATCATACTTTGCAACCATCCATCTCTAAATTTCGTATTTATCTTTTTCTCTTTGAAGGGAAAATATCATGTTTGTTGTAGAACAAGTCTTGTCATATATGGTAGGTAAATGATTTATGACCTGGTCTATATGGAACTCAAAAATTGATTAGTATTTCGATTATTTCCTTCTCTGCAGGTCTCCTTCGATGTGGAAAGAGTTGTCGTCTTCGTTGGACTAATTATCTTAGACCAGACATAAAACGCGGTCCATTCACTCCTGAAGAAGAGAAGCTTGTTATACAGCTGCATGCCATTCTAGGCAACAGGTATGGTTTACCGGATAACTATAGCACAATGCTATGTGGACTCGTATCAATTATTGAACAAACGAATGTATGCAGTGCTCATAAGATGAAAATTTGTGTTTCAGGTGGGCTGCAATCGCTGCACAACTACCAGGAAGAACAGACAATGAGATCAAGAACTTATGGAACACCCACTTGAGAAAACGGTTAATTTGTATGGGCCTTGATCCTCAAACCCATGAACCAGCTTCTACACCTGCTGGACCATCCAAAAAACCCCCAGCATCGCCTTCTACACGTCACATGACCCAATGGGAGAGTGCTAGGCTTGAAGCTGAGGCTCGGCTTTCAACTGAGTCTTTAGTGTGCCACCCGCATCCTGCTAGGTTCCTTGATTCTGACTACTTCCTTCGTCTTTGGAACTCTGAAGTTGGAGAGTCGTTTAGAAACTTTGATATGAAGGAAAAGATTGTTTGTCAAAGTCCAATCTCCCAAGCATCCACTTCTACCACAAAATGTGCCTCTACTTCAGGTCTGACAGTAGATAACCGTGATGAAGAGATCAAGTGTAAGAACTTTATCAAAACCGAAGTTCTTGATGTTAATACAAGATCAGATTCTTCGAGCTCCAATGAGGTAGAGGATTCATCTGAGTCTGCATTGCAGCTGCTGTTGGATTTTCCTGGATACAGTGACATGAGCTTCTTGGAAGATCCTGTCGACAACTACCCTGATAACGAGAGTTTTTTCAAGTTTTACTGAAGATATCTGGGGTTTTTGTCAGTCACATTTAGCAGTATATCTCTTAGTTAACGGTTATAGTTCTAGCTTTAAGTTTACCTGCTCTCCTAATCTAGTCATGTAAATTGTTCTGTTTCTGCTGATAGGAATATAGCATGTCTCCATGAGCTGCATAATCCGGTTTATGTTCCTAGATCTGTTTTCTGATGTCGTGCTGCATTTTGGAATTTTAATGTTGTCTTTAGACTCTTTTACTAGCTTGATTGGAATATATGTATATGGTTGAATCGTTAATTTTATTGTTTCACTTTTCTATTGCAAATGTTATGACTGAAAACAATGAACTTGAACTACATTGACAGATATTTAAGCCTAGATTTGGCAAAATGAGACATACTTGACTATCTGATTCTGAATTCAAGGCCAAAACCAACCAAAAAAATTCATATCCAACCTGAATTTCCCTATTGGCAAATAGATCATCATCAATTACAGCTATTACACTGATCTCTCACACAAGTTGTTTACGCGCAACAACAATCTTAACTAACGCAATCTAGTGCACTGCTACACTTGAAAACTGCATTAACCTGGGGTAACTATCTCTGCTGTGGATGATCTAAAATGAGATGCAACCAAGGATCTTCTTTGGGGTATATCCTGTGGCTCGGTATTTTGCAGCCTTCTCCTGGATCATGAGGAGCTCCTCGCCTTTTCTTGCTTGAACTATTGCCCTCTTCTCTTCTGTTTGCTTGTGGACTAAAGCTACCATGTTCTTCATCTTTTCTGCATACTCGGCCTTCTTCTTTTCAAGCTCTTCCTGCTCATTAACACCCAACTCATTAAATTTACCATGATCAATATATACTGCTGCACACATATGTACTACAATTTACATGAATATCATGATTGAACAATTAAGGTACCTCGATATACTTCAGCTTAGCGTCGATGGATGCTTTCTTTCTGTTCTCCCAAGCGTTGAGAGCAGAAATCTGCTTCTCAGCCCTGTCCAGTACAGTAGGCAACGAACATCAACATTCAGTTTTCGAAAACTATATGATCATTAGTTTTGTCACTTTTGTGTAGAGTTTTCGGGTAATCAGATCATAGTAATGAACATTTATGACTTCATAGGATAATTATTTTAGGCTTTTAAAGTTATAGACACTAATCAAAGACACAATTCTAATGTTATCAAGCCACATGAACTAATCAGCAAGCAATTAAATTTTCTGCCTTGAAATATATAACACCCCCCACCTCTAAATCCTTCTATACAAAATGTAATCTTGATGATATAATCCAAAATCTAATTTTTGTTACATTTAATATCAGACTTAAAGTAAGCAAGCATGCTACAAGGTACGGCACGACATCATGCATAGTTGTTTCTTTAGTTAATAGAGACCACAATAAACAAGATTCGATCTTATGTCTTGGGCATAACCCCCATATGTATGTACGTCATGTAACATGACATGACGATGAACAAAAAAAAAACTTACTTGTTGACTGTTTTAGATTGCTCACTTTCTTCCCATGCCTTAATAAAAGACAACCTCTTTTCCTGCTCAACATGTGCTAGTGCAATATCTGCAACAACCATAGTACAAAAATGTGTAAATACAACATTTATTCTAACTATATGAACTCTGACAAATATCATATTTAATGAAGCTTGTTTGTTTTTGTTTTTGTTTTTTTTTTTTTTTTTTTTTTTATCATGTCATATTTTGTCTTCTAATTAAATAAATATGAGTGAACTGAAAATTATGTGCCACTATAAACTCACCCCTGTCAGATGATTGTCTACTTCTTTGAGATTCAGCCTCTTCAGCTTCTGTTAATTCTTAATTGACATCATATGTATTAGACATTCTATTCATAATTAGAATTTCAAGAAAATGTTTGTTTCATAAAGAAAAAACAAAAAATAAAAATAAAAAATAAAATAAAAATACACCTCAAGTATTTTACTTGGTAACAAATGATCACATGCTCGTAACATAATACCATCTTATGTTATGAGCACGTGTGCCAGAGAATGTGAGAGGGTGTAAAATTTACATTAGAATGTATAATGGACATAGGTAGAAAGAGAGAATGTAATACTTTCAACTACGGGAACTATAGTCTCGGTAGTTGCCGGGGCCGAGGGAGGAGTAGTAGCCTTTGATATCTCCTCGGTGATGCCGGATGATGATGATGATGAAGATGGTGTAGCAACAGCCGTTAATTTGCTCTCCACAATTTTCTTAATCTCCTTTTCAATCATTTTGTTTTCTTGTTGCTATGCTTTCTTTTTGTTCTAAACCAAATTAAATTGAGGTCTATTTATGATTAATCTTTCTTCTAATACCTGCTTTATTGTATGAAATTGTAGTATAAACTATTCTTAAATCTTAATCAAAATTTAAAATGACAGAGATTAAGGAGACATTATCTCATATATATATAAGAAATTGTAAGCTTTCATACTTTTAGTGGGCTACCATGTTACCAACTTATAAACCATTTTTTATTCTTTTATTTTTTTTTTCTTTGTAAGTGAATTATTCAAAGAATTAGTAAATGATTAATGTTTAGGTAGGTAAAGAAATTGAGCTACAACACCACGATATAGCATAGTGCTGAAGCTCAACTCTCATTCATATTAAATTTGTTTTTCCAATGTTACTCTAATAAAATAAAATAAAAAATTTGTAATCAATTAGTACAACATTGGATAATTGAAACATGAAATAGCAAGTCCAATGAAGAAGACTGAATTAGAAATAAAATTGCCAGCTAAAATTGGAAGGACGACAACTTTGAAACAAAGGAGCTAGACGTGTTCAAAATACATGAAAGCCACCACCTCATTACTAAGTTGCTCTCACAACTACTCCTAATTACTTTGTTTTACTTCAGATTATTTATTTATTTATTTAATAAAAAAAAATAAGGAACAAATACTACTATTACATTACATATTTACATTTGTGTCACCCTGAAAAAAAAAAAGAAAAAGAAAAAGCCCCCATATATGCTAAGAAGCTCCAAACTAAAAGTCAGAACCACAGGTCCAGTTCACTTTTCATTCTCCTCCTTGTAGCTTGAAATCCAAAATGAAAACATTAGCTCCGAAAATGGCAGCAGATGCATCAGATTGAAGAAAACATTAGCTCACTCATCGACGACATTCTCTCGCACTTCCTCATCAAATACAGTCATACGTGTACTAGATACTTGGACATTTAGACAATGTAACAGCAGAATTCTGGCTACTATTCCCAGCAGAATTTTCAGCTCTTTCTACTTGAAGTGAGTATGTTAACAAAGCAGTAATTAGATATATCTTGCCCAGTTTTATTTAGTAAAATGGTCAGTAGTTGCTGCTCCTACGTAAAGTTTATTGGCATGGGATACAAAAATCACTTCACTAGAATAACAAGTGTTACATACTTCAACAAACAAAGCCTGTTTCCTGTCAAATTCTGCTTTTCATACAATCATACAGCCGGAGTAACAAGTCTCTGAATTTTAAGGTTAATAGACCAAACTAGACAGAGAAATTAGAGTACAATGGAATATAGGCTTGTATCGAGTATCTGATTCAACTTGAATATAAACTCATGTGATTAGTATATCGCAAACTCTTGAATGTAATCCGACCAGAAAACAAACTGAATAGCTTATCATTAAAATCAATCCAAACTTAACAGCCCATTTGCCTTGCATACTTCTTATATAGTGTCTATTATACAGTGTACTTCGAACATGATACACCCAAGGCTACAAACAGCATCCAAGGAGATAGCAAATCTCAGCTAATTGGAAAGTTTATTCACCTTTAGCATCCTTGATCAGACCAGAAAGATATATAAAGCATCCCTTCTGATGAAAAAAGATTTAGTGTGCTCAAAACATAGAAGCGCATAGAGAAAACATTGAAAATGAAATATATATTTGAGAAAAGGTTTTAGTACAGCCTAATTTGAGAATCATCAAATGTATCCTCAAAGTTCTAAGCTTCAAACTAGTGTAAGATGTTGGTAGCCTAATTACTTGCCAAGTAAATCAAAAGCTCACAACTACTAACCAATGGAATAATGGGCCAAGCAGGGAAGAGCAGAAGCCTAAGGCAGATGACCCAAAAGCAAAAGCTATACAAAAACTATGCTAAATAAACTCGAGCAACATAATCTCATAAGGAACTAAGGTTAATTGACCAAGTTTTATCTCTATCCAAGGGTCTAAACAAGCTATCAATCTAAGTAATCAAGGGGTCAATCGAGCTCAAATTCCGTAGGTTGGAACAAACAAACCTACATAAGATTTATTACAACAATAATCATCAAGAACAATGACATGAACAATTAAGTAGACAATACATATGGTCAACACCCAATTTCATACATTCTTTATTCTCCAATACAGCAATAATCATCAAGAACAATGACATGAACAACTAAATAGACAATACATATGGTCAGCAACCAATTTCATACATTCTTTATTCTCTAATTCCATGTAATATCATGTCTCATGTGAGCAATCCAGCACCACACTTCATTATCTAGTCTCTAATAATGCAGTAATCAGTATACAGCTCCAAAAATTAATTATATGCCGCAGTGAAAAATGATCCTAAATATTGAACAGAAATTAAAACAAAGTACTCTTTTAACTAACATGATATGATAAGAGACAGAGGATATACCTAGAAGCAACCACATTGCTTCTTCCATCCCATAAAACTCTCTTATTGCTTATTCCTACAAACAAAAGCCTCAACACAACCCAAAACCGACCGGTCACGAATTCAACTCTGCGAATCAGTCCCAAAGAGCTTCATCCTCGAAAGCGGAGACCTCAAGTACCCTTCAACTTCATACTTCTTAGGTGAAAGCTCTCTATACTTAGCAAACTGTTCTCGAGCCTCGGTGTTTCGATCAAGCAAGCTATAAATCATCCCTTTACAGAAATAAGGCCTAAAATCTTTAGAATCCTCCTTAATCAATTCATCATAACTTTTCAATGCTTCATCCACATTCTTCTGCAAGAATTGAATTTGAGCAATGATCAACCTCACATCCCTAGCTTCCTTAGCCTTACTCTCATCCATAGCAATGCTTAAAGCCTTCTCTAACCTAGCAATCACGGTATCCCTTTCGCCGCAACGGTCCATAAGCAAAGCATTCTCAAACAATGCCTCAAATGAGAGAGGATTCAATGCTAAGATATCTTCAAATTCATCTCTAGCTTCCTGGGTTTTCCCCATTTCACTCAATAATCTTGCTCTTAGAAATTTCCACTCCGTTTCATAAGGTTGAGCTTCAACCAATTTACCCAGAATCTTCAATGCCTCTTCATCTTCCCCAATTTCAAGTTTCTTCTGCAACAAACTCCACAAATTATCCACAAATTCAGAATTTGTTTCCAATAAATGAGATAATGGTGAATTTTCTTCAACCCCACTTCCAATTTCACTCAAATTAACAGCTTTCTGTTCCTCAACTGTCGATTCTTCAACAATTGGCGTCGGTGGTTCCGCCTTCGCCGGCATTTCCTTCAATTTGGAGGCCATTAAAGTGGCTGCCACCGTCAAAACCACCGTCTTAGCAGCGGTGGAAAGAGTTCGGGCAAATGGGGTTTCTTTTGGGGACCCATTTGAGGGATTAAGGCTATGATTAGAGGAAAAATTAGCAGTAATGGAGAGTTTGGAAGAGGGTTTTTGTGGGGTTTTTGAGGAGAGAGAAAATGGGGTTGTTGGAAGAAGAAGATTGCGATTTGATTTGGGAAAAGGAAGGAAAGAAGATGATATAGCTAAGGCAGAATCCATTAGAGGGGTGTCGAGAAGAGCGAGCGAGAGAGAGAGAGAGGGGCAGGTGAAGCAGCTTTTGAAGGAGTTGGAAATGGAGGAGGTTTTAGGTGAGATGGGGTGAATTTTGCTGTTTTTGGGTAGGTGAGAGTGAGACTCGTGAAAAAGGGGGTTCAAAAAAGTGACCTAAAAAATGGAAGCAACTTTAAGAGAAAGGTCAATTGTTTGTGCAATGTTTAGGTGAGAGGTCGAAACTGGACTGGATCGGAAAAAGTCGGGTTGTGTTGATTTTTTAGTCTATGTAATTTCTCGGTTTGGTTTCAGTGTGAATTTGGACTGGTGCGCACTTATGGTTGGAGTTAAGTAGACTGAGTAGTCAATGCCTAGGGACTACGTGCTTTAACCTTCATATTGGGGGAAGATTTGGTGCATTTTAGACCTATAATTGTGTTATGATTAACCAAGTAGAAGAGAAAAGTGTATAATCACAAGAACAGGGCCTATGTGAGTATGTGGAGCATTGCTCGCTGCTCATTTCCCCAAGTGTATGCAGGACTTTTGTAAAGTAATGTAAGATCAACCCTAGTTCCGCAATAGAACATATTGGATGGATTAATTTAGTTGTGGCCCAGCCGAAATCTAGTATGAGTAATAATCAAGCCATTTCAAAGTGTGATGCACTGATGCCAAAGCCAATATGACTTTTTGGCTACTTCAATCCAAAGAAAAAGGGAAGAAAATATGGTCGAGCACAAATTAGACCACAGGCTGTAGTTATACAGTGCTCCTGAAACGATTACTTCTGCACTACAAATATCATGCAAGTAAGAATTTATTCAGCTTCAAAGTTGCATTCTACAAAGTACAGTAATCTAACCCATTCTAGCTCCTTTAAATATGGGAAAGAAACAAAAGATAACGCACACAGGAGATTAAAATAAATGAGAGCGGAACATATACATCAGCCAGTGATCATGGTTCCAGCCCCTTCATCGGTTAAAACTTCCAGCAGCAGAGAATGCTGAACCCTACCATCGATTATACTTGCTGTTCTAACTCCTTGAGCCAGTGACCTAATACAACAGTTGACTTTCGGGATCATTCCACCAGCAACCTTCCCTTCTGAAACCATCTTCCTTACCCCGGCAATGTCAATCTCCTTCACTAAACTACCCGGATCGTCTTTATCTTCCAAAATGCCCGCAACATCAGTTAACAATATAAGCTTTTCAGCACCCAATGCAGCTGCCAGTTCCCCTGCCACAGTGTCTGCATTGATGTTATAGGACTGCCCTTTCTCATCGGCTGCAACAGACGCAATGACAGGGATGTGATTATTCTCAACTAATGGCCGGAGGACTGTGGGATCCACAAGAGCAACCTCGCCCACAAAGCCAAGTTCAGCAGCTTTGGGGGAAGGACGTGCCGTGAGGAGACGTCCATCTATACCAGACAATCCAACAGCAGTGGCTCCAGCCTTATTTATGAGAGAGACTAACTGTTTATTGACCTTGCCCACAAGAACCATTGTGACTATTTCCATAGTGGAAGCATCAGTGACTCGAAGACCATTGAGGAAGTTCGGTTTGAGGCCAATGCGGTCAAGCCATTGGTTGATTTCAGGACCACCTCCATGTACAAAAATAGGGCGAATGCCCACACATGAGAGAAGAACTAGGTCATTGATTACTGATGCTTGAAGAGATTCTGATTTCATGGCTGCCCCGCCATACTTGACAACAATGGTTTTACCTCGGAATTTTTGTAGGTATGGGAGTGACTCTGCTAGGATATCAACTCGGGTTTGAGCAGGAGTACATTCAGCTAATGATTTATCAAGGTCCAGCGAAAGTGACGATCTAATACATGGTAAGGAACGGTGCGTGAAATTTTTGTTTGCTGGATGGGCACTAGTAAAGGTGAAAGGGAGCTTGAGGCAGTAGTTTGGACATTTTAAAGACTTCTCTGAGAATGAAAGAGGAGGAATAGAGGGAGATTTTGCAGCAAACATATTGTTATCAAATTACTGCTTTATACTTATAGGTTATGAATACAGTGATCTGAACCTGCAAATTTAAACAAAGTAAGGTGCATGTGAGAATACTTCATCAAGATATATTACTTGGACGATACAAGAATTCAAGATATTTCCACTACATTGCAGGTCGAACTCAAATATCAGCTGTAGGAGTCTCCATTAAGTACACATGTAAATCTGCATTCTGCCCATAAGAAAAGCATAGCTTATTGCTGCCTCATCTCAATAAAGAAAACTTCCATTGTATATATAGCACTAAGCTCACAATAAGAGGAAGATATTTGGGGATACGTGTTACCACTATAGTCTCTTACATGCCAAGAATATAGAGTTAGCTCGCTTATACACCCCTTCATACCATTTAGCATTTATTAAGTTCTTGGTATTGATTTGTGATTCCCCGGAGTCCAAAATTCTTGAAGAAAGAACTAGTATTCTCCAATCAACAAAACCCCTTCACCATAGTCCATACCCCTAGACAAGGTAGATTGTATAAGCCAAATCTTACCCCATTAAGCTATTCTATCCTACAGAAAATTTAAGCAACAATTCTAGATATGGCCTTTGAATAATCAATTAAAAAACGGAGTGACAAATTCTTAAATGATTTGTCCCCCTCCCTCCCAAATTAATTTGCATTTTGCATACAACCAACTATTTTCAGCTAATTAGACCTCCCCTAAATTCATAAATAAGAGGCGAGGAAACTCATAATTTCATAAATACGAGGCAAGGTCTGCGAGGAAACTAATGGCAAAGGTGTGAATCTAGGACAGAAGGTCAGTGCATTATATTATGTAACGTATGTTATATGGAGTCCGATTGTTATATAGGTTTCCCTTAGCCAAATCCATACTTTGGCTTGGCCTAAGGATTGGGCTTCTTACCAAAGATACATTAATAAAGGTTCATAACTCCTCATCTTACATGCCAAATGCATAGCACTAAAGAGTAATCCATATTCCAGACAACAACTGTTGTTTACAAAGGTTCTCGGCATGGATAAGTTATTGTACATTTGCCAAGGTTCATGCCATGGATAAGTTACTCTACAGCTACGATCACCTGAAACGGCTCGAGGTAACTCAACTTCTAATTCAGATACAGGTACCCCAAGTAACCCAACAATAGTTACTTGCATTTCCAGTTTTCCCATTCTAATTAGTAAACAACTTACTACCCAAAAATGTGAAAATTAATAATCAATCTACTGCCCAAATATGTGAAAATTTGTAATCAATTTGCTGCCTAAAAATGTGAAATTTATCATCAATTTACTGCCCAAACATTTAAATAGTGATTAAAACAGTTATATGATGTAGAATTAATCAAATAAACAAAAGTTTTCAAATTTATAATAGAGTTGCAAGAAATGAATATGCAATTACAATTTCCATTGGTATGCATCAAAATTAAACACTTGATTACTTATACAACGTTATAAAAAAATGCAATTTTTAATGTTAAGCAACAAATAGTCCAATCAAAATTTTCAAAGTAAGCAAATTACAAAATCAACAGTACAAAGATGAAATTGATTATACCTGGGATTAATGGACGACGGTAGCCGGTGGAGCGGAGATGCGGCGGCGGATCTAGAGTGGAGTGGCAGAGTTGAGTGAGTGAGGAGAGAGAAAGTGGGCAGGTTGTAAATTTGCAAAACCCCATCTTTAACCCCAGGTTGATAATTTTTGAAAAAAACAAAATGGTTATTGGGTACCCATTTACTCCAAAACAATCAAACATGTACCCGACCCGTTTACACACCTTTCCCGGGTCGGGTAGTATGTTTGGAAAGTATTTGTTCCCGTCTTAATCATTTGAGATAACTTTTAACCATTTTAGTTTATTTTGTAAACCATATATATATTTTTAAGAGTTTGTGTGCAACAAAAATCTGGTCCAAAAATCGAATTGGATCGGAATGAAATTAAAACCAGATTTTTGGAACGGACAAGTTGAGGGAGTTCAAATTTTGGGTCTAAATTGTATTCTAAATAAAAAAAATACTACGTGCTTGAATTTGTTCAAGTAAGTTCATCATCAATGACATGACTTAGTACATTATCCTCAAGATGATCATGATCAAGATCACAAAAGTGCAGGCGAGATGAGCAGTCAAAAGAACAGAAACTTACAAAAATAAACACACAATTTACTAAATATTAACACCTAAAAGGTAACACTTTACAGAATAACGTAACACTTTTCCAACAGGAAAATCTATTTTCTCTTCTTCTTGGCCTTCTTCTTGGCATGTTTCGACATTGTTTGTCCTTTCCCTTGGCTTATCTCAACAGCTTGACTTTGCTGTTTTCCAGGAGCAGCAGCTGGAGAGGCATCCATCTTCCCCTCCTCAGTCTTATTATCATCATCATTTCCTTTCTCTGCAGTAGTTGTCTCATGATCCTCTGGGGTAGTCGCGTCCTTTTGAGGAATCAGCGAACTCAGAAAGAACTCAAATACTGGCTTTCCCGATAACAGCCTTCTTGCACTGTCTTCGACCAGCAAAACATTATCTTTCAGATGTCCGCTGAAATAAGCATGTCGCCAAATGATTAGTATGCAGGAAAACATAAGAACTGAAGTACGTTTAAAGTGTAGTTAGTAACCTGACAAATAAATATATATATGGACAATAAAAGAATGAAAAAAAAAAAAAATCTATTATGAGGCACAAATTACAGGCCAACACAAACAGTTGCTTGATTTCAGAAGTGTCTCTTCTTCAGTAAATGTATATAGTTGCTTGAATTCTGTTGTGACTTGTGACAATCGGCTATACTGAGAGATCAAGCCTTACACGTTCATGAAAAATTCATAATAAAGTGTATCTTTAAGCAACACTACATATATATTGAATTAGATTAGAAGTTTGAACTGACCTATTTAAGGCTGATGATAACAGTTGTAACTCAAGAAGCAGACAATCACCTTCTTCCTTGTACTCGTCAGTGCAAGTATTATGTTCCAATGCCATGGATATTGCATTCGTCAGAAGGTCATATAATATGTCAATTTGAACCTGTAAATTGTAACAAAGATCATTGTATACAAGAACTAACAGATTAAAAACAAAAAGATATCTGTTTCAAAGAGAAATTCAGAATTACCCTAGTCTTTGGGACATTAGACACAAATCTATTCCAGCTTTTGTCATCCTTGTTTTCTACCAGCTTGAACAAATCAAAAACTTCCCATAAATCACCATCTTGGGACTCACATCCTTCATTCTTCTTTTCAGGTAATATGGAGCCGCATGTAGTACCTGATTTAGTATCAGTGGCATTGACTCTATCTTGACAACCATTCACCTTCTCTGGGAACAGGATTCTGAGCAAGTCCTCTTTACTCTGGCCAACAATATCAAGAGAAATGGCACCCTTGCAGAACACTTTTGGACGGGTTTTTCCAGTCCTTACCACAACTAGAGGATCATTAATTGCATTAAATGCTTCAGCGATACCATTGTTGATGCCAACCTTCTGACATTTGTAAATAGCATTAGAGAAGTCATATGGTAATTGCTTGATAATTTCCCAGCTTAACACATCTTGAAGTTCCTGCAAATAGCTATTAGAGTTCAGATGAACTACGCACATTAAAACAACTAATCTCAGTAGCAGCACCGGGAAATTCTCCTTTGCACTGATGCCAGATTTTTTTACCCATAGCACCGTTTCAGCTCTGTTCCTAAGAAGCTGATAAAGTATGCGAGCCAAAAGAAAATAAGTATCTCTCAAAAACACAGATTTTTCGCCGGATCTATCACTGACAGACACCCAATTTTTGCTGAAATTGGAATCTCCTTCAGAATGAATAAACCATTCAACAAGAGATGATCTTGTTGTCACTAAGAAGCCCTGAAACCCCAGGAGGGAAACTATTAGGCGGTCAACTAGATATAAGAAACAGACAGGTGATATGTAATCTCTTGTCCTCCAATCTGCATCATATACATCCCTAAGAGCTCTCTGAAGTTTGCAAGCAAGGGACTCTTCCAGTTGAGTTTGAGCCTGAGCTTGAGTCGCAGAACACTGAGAAATGACCTGAAGAAGCGGCTTCCAAGGAGAATCAGTGTTGAGTCTTCTCAAAACCATTCGTGAAGATGGAATTTTACCCTTAGGTGAACCAAGAAGCACCATGGACACACGTCCAAGCTGCCAAAATGTCATTTTATCAGTCCCCTGGATGTTAGTTAATATGACATCTTCTAGTATTTTCCTAGAGATATCTACCTCCCTCAAAATCATCATGTCTATGCTAACAGACTTTTTCCATTCTAAAGGAAACACACAATGAAAGTGTTCTGTTATTGAAACATCAATGTATCTCTGAAGCAACCTCTCATCCTGAGATCTCAACTTCACAGGTTTATAGGAGGATAGCATCTGTGCAATTTCATAAACATAGAGGACTAACCTAGACGTGCTAAAATCTGACAATGAACTCTTCCGAGGGTTCTTCCGTAGTGCTTCAAGAACACTCAACACTTTCATGCCTGTAGAGAGTAACTCCATGGACCAATGGTTGTTCGCAGCAGCTAACAAGTGCTCCGTACCAACCGTTAACAATTTCCCAAATTTTTGGAAATAACTTTGGTCACTATCTTTGATCCAATCAGCATCAGGGTATAGGCAAACATAAACAGCGCTCGTACTAGAAGACAGTTTCCGAACCCCAAGGTAGTTCAAACAGAATTCCCCAAGTTCTGCAATATCACTAGATTCACTAACCTCTACTGCCCCAAGGAACTTGAATATTCTCAAAATAATCTCTTTCCAGGAGTTCCAAAAGTAAATTAATGTTTCAACCGAGACCTTGTTTCGGGAAATCCTTTCCAGATGCATGGCCGAATTCTCTGTGATGTCCCTTCCCCGTTCAAATTTGGAAATATCAACTTGAAGCATTAAGTCCAGAATTCCTTTAGTTGATAGTATCACCCCTCTCATATTGCTATGACGTTGAGAGATGGTCAGCAATTGTTTCATCTCAGGCAGAGAATAGCTTCTGTTCATGAAAATCAGGCTATCTGTACAAGCTGTCTTATAAAGATCACGTGGCTTGATATTATGAGCAGAGGCTTTGGCTTTCATTAGCAGCTCCTCCATCTGTGGGAAATTTTTTAACGGCCAACCTTTACCATCAGCCCAGAGACAACCGGCAAGAGCGTACCACAAAAGAAGTTCACATGCTTCCTTGTGAAGTCCACCCTTTTCCAGTAGATCTGCTTCAAGCAGAAGCTCCCCTCTTTCCCTTGCAATATCAGCAGCCTTTAAGAAGTTACCTAATTCTAACTCCAAATCCAGAAGCTCATCAAGGCACTCCAAATTCTTGAGAAAGGTTTGCATGGACTCCTCTGAATTAAAGGCCTTAACAAACTTCATCATCTCAATCTTATCATCTTGATCGTACAGAGAACGAGCACAGTTTTCTAGGAACACTTGTTCAATCAAGTCTAATTCTCCACCCGTTTCCTGGTGTTTCCAATTATGAATGAACTGTAGACCTAAGTCATACAACTTCCCTTCTGAGCAAGACGAAAGGCACTCTGAGAAAAGATTACACTTGGCAAATACCTCGGCAGCACGCTCATGGTGCCCAGCCAAGGCTCTTTCCCTAGCAATATCAGCAGCCTTAGAGAAGTTTCCTAGTTCTACTTCCAAATCCATAAGCTCATCAAAGCACCCTACATTCTTGAGAAATGAGTGCATGGACTCCTCTGAATTAAAAGCCCTAACAAATTTCAGCATTGCTACCTTATCACCCTGCTTATGCTGAGAATGAGCACAATTTTCTAAGAATACTTGTTCAATCATGTCTAAATTTCTATCCATTTCCTGGTGTTTCCAATATTGAACATACTGCAGGCCTAAGTCATACAACTTCCCTTCAGTGCAAGACAAAAGGCACTCAGAAAAAAGATTACACTCAGCAAATACCTCAGCAGCGCGGTCATAATGTCCAGCAAAGGTGAAACAGTCACCGGCTTTTTTAAGATTAGAAAAATCACCCAGCTCAAAATATATTATACCTGAGAAGATACATGCCCGAGTCAATATGAGTAATTCCCACAATAGATAAATCACATAAAAAAACCAAGCATTATTTTCATTTCCAAAGAAAATCACATCAGTAACAAGATAATGCTCTTTAATAAACCTAAGATAGTTCGCATTTTAGATACATATTTGACACACAAATGAAATGAAATAATGTAATAGATGATTCCCAAGCTGAGCTGAAAAACGTTAAGTTTAGAAAAATCGAAGGCTATTGAAACAGGTATACACAATAGTTCTTAGTAATCTATTAGAATCAGTCAGTTACCTTTTACAAACTGACATAATGACAATTAATATATCAGCAAGTTGCCTTTCGTAGTTCTATATGTGAGTACATTCCCAATTTCCCATGATTTCTGGTTGCAAACTACCACATGCTTTCCCCTCCCTCCCTTATACATAAACCAGTACAATCAAACTAAGATTGACTTTAGTATTTTATAAACAAACAAAATCAAAGCTCTAAAACAGCTATGCTATTTTGTGCTACAACTGTTACAAGGTAATAAGTAAGATGCAAATATGAAAAGGATTATAATCCTATTACTATTTACAGGTTTCAGAATTGAAAGCAAATCAATAACCAAAATAAAAGATTAAGATCAAATTTCGGCATCTTTTATACATTTGATAGGTTTCGGCTCAAAATCATTTTATTTTTATTGTGTAACATAAAATGAAACCATTCTACAACTACTCAGCTCTAGATTGGAGTTTCTGACTTCATAGCCCTATACTTGAAATTTTTTGTAAGAAAATAGGAGATCATTCAATCTCCAGAAATCAATGGGTTAAAACAGGCTGTATAATAATAATCATATGTGCCTCTAGATCCCAAAAGAAGTGGGTTTAATATAAGTCTCTGCAAGAAAAACAAGTCATATCCCAAGGGCAAGGGCATACCTGCTCTATCATATTCTTTCAACTCATAGAAGCAATCCGCAGCTTTCTGGTACACATTTATGCTTTCAAAAAGCTCAGCAGCTTGTCTGAGAATGGTAGAGGCTTCTTCAGGATTCAAGAGATAAGTTCGATCAGCAGCTGCCTTAAGCCCAGCAGCCTTAGCATATGTTTCCCAATGCCTATCACCAGCTCTTTCAAAGCACATTGTAGCCACCTCGTAGTTTTCAACTGCTAGCAACTGCAGATTAAAACAGAACTATCATATTGTGAAGGAAAGATATCATTAAAATTTTAGAGTAGAAGTGCGCATCAAAGTTAGATCAAAACAGACAAACCTTTCTGCCCCGAGCTTTCCACTCCTCTGGACTGCTTGCGACTTGCATTGCACGTGCAAGTGAATCATCCAATTGCCTGATCTGAACCACACATAACTTCTTCCAATAATCAAATATAGGTTTTGAAAGATCCTCTTTGTTCTCACAAATCCATAATCGTTGCCGTGTGCGAGTGATGGCAACATATAGCTGCTTCAATTCAGAGCATAATACATTGTGCTTTGCAGGATTGAAATTGGGAAAGGACGGTTGCAAATTTGTATCAAGTAGATTCTGCAACTTCATAAACTCATAGATCACTCTCCATTGATTTTTTAGTGGAGACGACCCAAAGAAGTTGTACAGGAGGACATCCTACAAAGGCAAAAGTATATATTACAATTTACAACCATAGTGTATCTAATTGAGAGTACCATTGAAACTTGGACTTTTATATAAATATTCTAATTTCATTTACCTGAAATTCCAACCCTTTGCACTCAACTATTGTTAGCACAAGAGCATGTTTCCCTACATAACTTGATATTTCCTTTCGATCACAATCATCCCGCACAAGTATCACCTGCTCAGCTCCAAAACCCACAAGATTACTACTGCCCATATTGCCAGTATTGCCAAAAATTGTGACAATAGCATTCTCATCAGACCCAGACTCAAGCAAGATTGGAGCTTCTCCAAAGATAAGACTATTCTCAGGTTTCAAAATGTCAATAGAATGAGGAAAGAAATGATAAATAAGATTTATAACACTTTGTCCTAACTTTAGTATACCAGCATGGGTACGAAAGTTCTGGCTCAAATGGAAAATCTGAGAAATATGTCCTCTCATTTGGCTTCCACTAGCCCCATCATTTCTTTCTCTCGTCAAAAACTCTTTGTAGAACAAACATCTCACATCCTGAAACCGGAAATCAATCCCTCTTGCGATTGTCTGAGCTGTATCTCCAGAAAAAATAAAACCTTCATCCACATTTCTGCAGACATATTTAAACAGGGCAATCTGTCTCATTGTCAGGTCCTGAACTTCATCAATATAAACAAAATCAACTATATCACCAACATATCTTTCACACTTGAGCCGTCTATGAAGATCATTCACAAAATCTGATAAATCAAATTCTCCTCTTTCTAATTTCATCTTCTCATAAGTCAGGAATATGTCATATATCATCTCTCTCCTCTGCCGACTTAGAGTTGATGTTCTCCCAGCAGAAAGAAGAAGATAATCCTCTAAACTAAGCTTACCATCATCAGTTTCTCCTGTTTGGAGACCACCTTTAATGATAGAGATTATCTCAGTAAAAACTCTGGAGGAATCAAGCTTCTTCGTAAGCTGTGAATTGAAGTGAGGCCAATAAACCAAACTGAATTTCTCAAAGTTGACCTCTTTCCTTTTCATAAGGAAAGTGATGGATGTACTGGTATTTCCTCCATAAGAAAGATCTAGATCACCATGAAATCTTTCAAAGTAAGAACTACCTAATGTACCGTCAAGCATGAATAAAAACTTGTTAAAAGTTAACACCAGAGGGTATGACTTTGGATGAACTTCAACAAATGAGTCTGGGATACCACTAAACTGCTCGCTGTCATCAATAACATCAGCATCCATGGGGTCACTAGCCAAAGAAGAACTCTCCTTACGAGCAAAACTGCATGACAAAAACAGTAGACAAGTAAGGGGCAAAACCAGTATTACAGAAGAGTCAGAATTAAGCAAACACTAACATGCAGGATGCAGCAGAGCTTAAAGTTAAAGAACAATATATCAAGTCTACATAGAAGCAAGCTAGAAAAGTCAACAACTGGCATAGAAAATAAGTGGTGAAGGAATTAAAATGGTGATATATGAATCAAAAATGACACCGGCCACACCACCATTGGCACCATACACATCAAACAAAGAACCAGAAAGGGAGCTAGAAAAATCACGGGAGGACAAACTCCACCACATACCTTTTAAGATGAGAAACATGTTGTTTTATGGCATAGCAAAGTTTTGGACTAACAGTCACAAAAAGCTGGCGTAAGACATTTTCACTCGCTGCATTCCCATTGGAATGGGTGACATCCACATTGCCGGAATCTTTATTTACTTCAACCAAGCCTTCAACAGCCATGTGATGCAATTGCTCTTTCTGATATAATTTCATCGTTAACACAGTTGTCTTTCCAGTACCAGAGCGTCCTAAAATAAAGGAGCTTTTTGGGTGAAGAATTATTTGATACTCCTCATCCGTTACTTCAAAGGGCAAGTCCAAAGCTTTACCATCAGCATCAGACAGCAAATGACCTACTATGCCCGCAGAAAGAGAGTAAAACTTCATCAACAACAAGCTTTCGCTCACTTTGGCATTCTCAGCATAGCATGTTCCATCTAATTCACCATCAGAAGCAGTTGTAGACTCAGCATAGTTGCTCTTAAATCGGACAATGTCAATTGACTTGCTCCAAGTCCTTGGGACCTCTAGCTCCCTAAATCCATTAAATAAGATTATTAAAAAAAGGCAAAAGCTAATGAGCGCCCCCGGGGCGTTAGATAAGAGAATTAAAGTGCAAATATTAGAGTAAAATTAACATTAATTACACCGAACGACGCGTGATTTTGTCATGAATTCCTAACTTAATACCATTTCAAACAATATAATTTATCCTTATCTAACGCCGCGGGACGCTCGTTAGCAAGATCGTTAAAAAAAAATTAGAAAGAACTTTAGAAATCAATGTATTTCAACTCTTTAACAAGGCAGGGGTATCTAATTCAAGAGATAATGGAGAGAAAGGAATACCCCTCAAGACTACGTTCTTTGCAACAACTCAAGAAATCATCAGTGAAGGCTCCATATATGCTATCAAGTCTTTTAACCAGCTTTGACACATCTTCCAACGGCAAAACATCCCAGATCTTCAGCATTTGGACGTACACAGAATCTTTCATGATATCATTCGTGCAAATAATGTAGCGACCTTCAACTTTGTATTGTTTGACAATTTGCACACTACTCTCACAAACAGGGTCAGCTTTGATTTTCTTAGGTCGCCACCCATTTGAGAGTTTCACAAGCAGATTCATAACTGATTTTTTTGCCCGGGTTGAAGGAAGCTTCGAAAAGCTTTTCACAAAATTGTCACTAAACAAAACCTAGACAACACAATAAAAATGTGTTATAAACTGCTAGACAGTCTAAAGATCCTGGAAAACTGATTCATCAACAGAAAATGGAAGAGAACATACCTTCCACCTGGCACTTTTAAAAAGTATACTATCCTTATTAAGCAAGTCATCAAGTTGGTTAAGCTCCTTCTTGATATCTATCATGGCTTCAGTCAAGCTCTTATCTTCATCAGCATTGAAAAGACAATGACGCTCTCTAGCATCGTAAACTAATCTTTTCCAAATTGAATCACTTAAAAAAAGTGTTTTTTGATTTCCAAGTATCCACAAACAGTGCCTGAACATAATGATCAAATTCATACAGTTGTCTTATGGTACAGTTATAAAATTTTAAAATGAGAGATATAGAAGGACAGACAAAAATGAGCAACACAAAATTCACAGCCATACCTTGCCCTGGTGAGAGCCACATTCATACGTTGTGAACTTGAGAGGAACCCAACTTCACCAACACTATTAGACCTTACTGTTGATATAATTACGATATCCTCCTCTCCACCTTGAAAACCATCAACAGACTTCACCTTCACTCCAAAATTTTCGAGTTTTTCATACCTTTTCCCTAGCAACTCCTCAATGGCCACAACTTGTGCAGCATAGGGTGATATTACACCAATGACAAGCCTTTTAGTTGAGTGACGCCATGCTGTAAAAAAAAAAGCAAATTTTGACAATTATTTGATCAGACTGAAATATTTTAGCTGCTATCATAAGGAGACCACCCAGGAGAGTAAATAATACCTCCTCGGAATTTTTTTTTAAAAAAGGAAAGACAAAAAAACAGAAAGCACCCCAAGGATAGTATTCATAACTAAACAAGGAATAGTCTCTACTTGTAAACTCTCCTCAAAAGACTGAAAAGAGGCTTCTAAGAACTCATGAATTCCATCTCAATCAGTCTTAAACAGGTTAATTTATCTATCAGTCTACCCAAACCTGTCAATATAACATTTTTTTCATCTCATGATAATAATAAAAATAAAGTAAAATAAAATAAAATAAAAAAATCTAGTTTCATGCAAAAAAAGGGGTGGGGGGGAGGGGGGGGGGGAATTTCATAATAGCAAGAGGATACTCAAACCATAAGCATCTAAATGGCATATTATCCCCGCAAATTATCAAAACATACTCTTGTAAAGATTATGCAGAATTTTAGCCACAACTGCAGCCTCAACCATATTTCTGCGACTGCGTCCGTCATCATCAACCTCCTCTCTTCCCTCGGAAACATTTATGAAAGAATAAGGCCCATACATGAGCGCTGGAAGATATTGTCTCTCATAGCACTCACTCCGGACACTAGGAGCATCCAAAATTTGCTTAAGATAAAATTCTGAATTAGGAAAAGAACTAATTGCAGGGTGCATCCTGTATTGCACATTTAGCAGGAGTTTTGGCCAACCAAGCAAACTAAGTCTCTGAAATAAGCTTCGTCCAAAACCAGCATTCTCAGATAGCTGCAATATAAACCATATAATATTATATGTGGTAACTGAAAGTTAAGTGAAAACGAAAAACAATAGTATTTTGACCTTTAACATACCTCACTCTTAACCAAAGCTGGCAATTGGCATTCATCCCCAAAAAGAATAGCATGCCTTAGACCAGGCAGTTGCAAAGGTATCGCTGATTCGCATTCCTTCAACTGTGCAGCTTCGTCTATGACCAGAAGACTTAGTGGCTCTATCGGTGTAGTGTAGAGCTTATAAGAGCTGGAAGCAGTGCAAAAAATTAAAGATGCCATCTTAAAACAGAGTTCCATTATGGATTCTTTGCCCATGATATTCGGAAAGAGAGCACCAAGAGATTGATGCAGAGTTCTAAGGATGGAAATGCACTCTCTCCTATGTGCTTCAAGCAAAGGCATGTTGTTAAGGCCAGCCCCATCAACCAGAGAATCTTCATCTTCCCTTGAAGAAAAAAGTTCCAACAGTTCTTCGGAACTCAATTCACATTTAAACAACAACTTTTCAAAGGATTCAAGGAGATTTATGAGAAGGTTCATGAACTCAAGATTGTGTTCTCCAATGTAACTATTTGATACATGAGTGCATAAAAGAAAAATACAACGCCTGACTGGTTGTACAGCAGCTTTAAAACGATTTCTGACAAAAGTAAGAAATGGTTCAATCTGGGGTACAGTAACAACTTCATCAATGCTTTGATCCTTCACCTTAATCAATTCATTTTCCGTGTAAACATTATACTGTGAAACACAATCCTCAAGGAAATTAAACAGGGATGGAAAACAACTCCTCCATCCAGTTAAAGGCGCAAAACACTCAGTTAACCTTTTGACGCGATAGTCAAGATATATATCTTCTATGTTTGAACCTACCCTTAACCGATCTTTGTTTCCAAACAGAAGTATATCTCCCAAAGAGTCGGATGTTCCTACTGAATCCCTTTCAGAAGAATTCATAATTAGTTCTAAAAGGCGACCGGCTACTTCTGTGATGGCAACATTTGTTGGAGCACATATTAAAGTCCTAACAGTCAACCTCCTGAGAAAATATAACAATGTACCGAGTGTTTTTGTTTTGCCTGTCCCCGGCGGGCCCCAGACAAGTTGTACCTGAGACGTGTGCTCAGATTGTGTTGCTTGCAGTGAAGTTATAACAGCTTCATATTGAGATGTATTCAGACCGGAAGAAATCTCCATACAAAGATCTTCAGACAAGATCCTACAATTACTGGATTCACACGAATTATGATCCTGCAATTACAATTTTTTTTCAGTTTAAAGGCTCATTCTTGGAAACAGGTATATTCAGAAGCAGCTTGTCATAAAGGTCATGTTAGCCTGTTTGTTAATCATCTAAAACCTGCATGTTAAATGATGTAGCTGTGCACTAAAGGCACTTGACAAGCAAGAAATAACACACAGGAATGATGTAGTATGTAAATAACCATGTCAATTATTTTAACACTTACCACAATACTTCTTTGTAAAGCTCCCTGGATGATTCTCACATTTTTAAACATCTGAAGGGCATTCCACATTCTTTTATGTGTAGTGCTATTCATCAAGAATACCAAAAAATGAGAGCTAAAGCTGTCATCTATCTCCTCTATGTCCCTTGATGATATAACTCTGAAAGAGGTCGATGAACCATCATCATCTATCTCGTCCTCATTGTTATTTTTGGAAATATTTGTGACTGAAGCCAGAACCCATGTTTGTGCCAGCATTTGCAGATCATATATACTTTCAGGCCGAGATTTCACAAGAGCAAATATATCACCAGGCAATGTTTTGTATGGCTCCTTGCCTCGGTCATTGTACCTGTTTCTCCATTCATCTATTTCAACACTATACAGTAATTGATCACGCTTAATTTTTTCACAGAAAATTATTTCAGCATAAGGTGCCCTTGAAATGATCTCCAAACTTGAACGAAGATCAAATCGTGTCTCTTCTAATAGTGGGTAAACAAAAGAGCTAAAATACTCCATTACTGTTTGAAATGAATCAGGAATCTGCCTGATCTGAAAAGAATTGGAGACAAATGGCCTTATATCAGTTTTTGTTTAGTGAAATTAGTTTACAGATTAACTTTGACACTAAGTCAGTGCTAATAATACATATGTATCTGATAATAGCCCAATATTGGAAAGATGTAAACACGACACAGTTTACAAGTAAGATTCCACAATCAGAGTAATCACCATTATCTGATACAAGCAATCACAAAAATCTTGCTGAAGTAAAATCAACAAAATACTTACAAAATTTTATCACAGTAGTACAAGATTTTAGCATTAAATTACTTTTCCAGCCTCTTATTGTGTGAGTCCATTTAAGCAGACATATGGGACAATAACTATACATGTTACAGACAAAGTCCAATATTAATCACTTAGTAAGTGAGAACAAACAGTGGGATTATTAAGTGGTACTCCGTTTTGCATAATAGTAGCCAGAATCTGAAGCCAATCATCTTGAACTGACTCGAAAATGATATAGAATGATCTTTAAACTAATCTGCACAAGAGATTGTCTACCAAAGTTGAAACTGAAAACCTTTCACTTGATCAGGGACAATTCCAATACTCCTAATTGTCATTGAAGTTAGTACATCCCAAAATGTTAACTTTCTATGAATGGAACCTTTAGTTTTCCCATATAAGATATAACCATATAAATGGATAATTTTTGTTGAAGAATGTACTTCCTGTTGTCATATAAACACTTTTAATTGATCCCCAAATGTATGACTTCTTTAAGCCAACCAAATGACCCACCCAGCAAAGTCATTGTACTAGTATTAAACATTTAAACTTTTCAATATTTATACATTCTAGCTGGCGTTTGTGAAATTGTGAATGCATACGTCCAAGTGTCTAACCCCTAAATGGTAACAAGTTTGATTATTAATCGTAATAAATATAAATCATAAAAAGTTTATTTTAATAAATTAATACTTTAAGTTTATCATTTGAAAATATAAACATGGGAGTACACTAAATTCAGGAAATTCACCACCATGATAAATTTCAATTAATTTAGAATTGACTACTGTACATAAATTATCAAATGGGCCTTCCAACCTATTTTAATCCCTTCCCCATAAGAGGTGGGTCTACACTCTAGAAGGTTCAAATATCCGCAACCTTATCATAAGCCCCTAACCCTAACTCGTAAAGTCAATAGGCCTACCCGTATGAGATGGGTCTAGAGAGTAGAGAGTTCAAATGTACACAACCTTATCCCAAAATCCCTAACCTTAACTCGTAAATTACCAACCGTCGAAAATAACTCCGATATAAAATCCAAACCCGAACTTGAAATGATGAATTCCATCAATTGTCATTACTTATCAGATAATGGTAAACACACAATCATAAACAAATCGTTCAAGCATAACCATCATTTATCAAACACCCTAAAAATTACTACTACTCAATACCCATCATTTAAAAGCAAGCACACCCGGATAACAATTTAATAATAAAAATTATATCAACGCATTATATCAAAGTATTAAACACAGATAATAATAAAAATAAAATTCATATCAAACCATTTATATCAAAATCAAAGTAATAAACACAGCAAGAAATATTGGACCATATATAAGTATAGTTACAAAAATATGGAAAACAAAAAGAATACCTTTTCACTGTAAAAATGATCATTGAAAATGTCATCAATAGACCATGAAAAAACCATATCAAGAAAACCAACGTTACTCGCAATTCTGTCATTTGTATCACCAGGCGATAAACATGAACCCTCCATCATCATCAACAACTAACTGCAATAAAATCATCAAATGAAACTATATATTATAAATAAACAAATACTTAGATAAACCCATTTCAATAAATAGGACAAAAAAGATTTCTTAACCATAAAGGAAATTAAAGGAAGTAGTACAAACCACTATTAAAAAAAAAAAAAAAGTTGTGCAGGAAGAAGAAAAGAAAACCCACTAGAGTAAGAAAATGTACTGAAAATATTATTTATAGTGAAATAGGAGAATTTGAAAGGACATTAAACAGGATTAAACATTTAATTAATTAATTACGAATATAAAAAAAGGAGATGAATTTTAAAGGATTGGTTGCTTTTTCTTGGGACATTGACTTGGCGTTGATTCTGCATTGACGCTTTTTCATCAAAAAAAAATAATAATAATAATGCTTAAGGAAAATTATGGCTAATACCAACATTTTATAAAAAAAACTTTATTAAAAAAATAAATTTAAAAACGAACCGTCAGTAGAAATAAGTTGTGTAAAATGTTTTTGATCACTCGAGTACACCACTACACCCCTACTAGACTTGTAGTCTAGCAGTTGACACAACTCACACAAGTAACGCCTATGTATATCACTTACATTTTCCCGCTTCTTTTCTCCTACCTATTAATTGTTGAGCACGCTTTTGGATTTGGCTATGTCCGATTTACGGTATGGTTCATTAGTTGCGTGTTATGTTTAACTTCTCCAAAAGAAATATGTTTAAGTTTAATCATGTCTTGCTTGCTCGTTTAGGCCATGTTTGAATGGTGTTTTTTTAGTTTTAGGTTCTGTTCACATTTACCTAATTTCATTTCAGTTAAGCTCTAATTATTCAATTCAGCTCCTAATTTCCCTCTCTCATAAAAAAATTATTTCAGTTCAGTTCAGTTCAGCTCCAATCAGTTCAATTCAGTTCAGCTCAACTCTATAAATGTGAACAGGACCTTAGTTGTGTTTTTGTGAGTAAAAGTGTTAAGAGTTTTTTTTTCCTATAATTTTAAGTTAGTGTTTCATATTCACTTTTTATTAATGGTGCATATCAACAAGTCAAACCCTTACCAAATAAGGAGTACAACATGAACATTTGCACAAGGTCTCAATCTTATACCATCTTGTGTTCAAATGGTTAAGGACTTTAGCCTAACTAATTAGCAAACAATTTTTTGTTAATTGAATTATCTTATTCTTGGCTAAGAGCAACATATATAATAACACAAACTTTAAAATAAAACGGATGTTTAGTAAATTACTGAACATTCGTTATAAAGTGACAATAAAATGTGCAAAAGTTACACTAAAACGCACAAAAGTTACTGTGACATATATAAGAGTTATTTATGCTTTATTGATAAATTTGACAAAAGTGACACTAAATCTGACAAAAGTAACACTAAATCTGACAAAAGTGTACCCGATGTAAAGTAAATTACTGAAAACCGGGTGTATACAAAAGTTTTCCATAACACAAACTTGAAGTTTATCGATCCATCACCCTATAATTTTGCAAATTCATTTATGCATCGCCGCAATTTGATGTTCTTCATTTTTGTATTTTTCAAACTTCTCAAAAAATCAGTGAAGATTGTACCAACAAAAAATTATTGAACTACTTTTGTGATTACATTCTTAATAGTTAAACCTCTCATTTTATTTTGTACAAATTATTATACTTGCTACGTCACACATCAATGAGTAAATGTTACAGATTACTTAGAGAGGTAGTGAGACAAGGTAAATAATTATAAACATGTTAATCGTTGGTGTGGATTGTAATTTAGACTATCCACCCTATACCTAGCTCCCCCGCCAATAGCGTTTGCTTTCAGTCTTGCGTCCCTTCCTTTCCTCTCTCCATTTTTTAAATTGACTAGGCCCAATTCATGGTTGGTTCATTAGTTGCATGTTTTATTTAACTTATCTAAAAGGCTGATGTAGGCATGGCTCAAGAGCCAAGACACTACATGTTTTAGTTTTACCATTTCCAACTTCCATCCTCATTTCCCAATCTCACAAACACGACACGTATTCAATATGGTGTGGTATTGAATGATAATGAAATAGTGAACATTTTGTGGAAAAACAAAAAAACGCATAGACTTGAATTCAACTTTTTAAAAGTAGAGAGACACAAGGGTAACCATGTACTCGTAAATACGAAGTAGTATTTATTCCAGGTCACGAGATTACACGTTACCTACTATTACGATTTTTTTGTTTTTTTTGACAAAACATACTATTACGACTTAGAGTCTATTTTATTTTAGTGGCCAAACTATGCTTAACAAAAGTGACACATTTGAAAATTCTACCTCGTAAAAATATTATCTTAAGTGATTAAAAGCTTCTTTTTCCAATTTCAAAGAATTTTGGATTGATTATCACCGCCCTTATGGCTCTCTAAACGCATATCGGATCGAAAAACCCAATAATTTTAGTAGAAAACTAGAAATTGAAAAACCGAATCACCCTTCGGAAGCCATGAACATACACACTTACCGGTGCTATTGGTGATTTGGTTGTAATGGAAGAAATTCAATCGTTTGGAGGAGGAAATTCATGGGGAGATATCATTTCTGACAAAGTTTTCTCTCTCTTCAACTCTCTTCCTAAAAAGGGCAAACCTCAAGGCCGTGAAGTCACTGTTTTGGCTGCTTTTCTTCTATCGTCTCCTTCGCAATGTAACCCCATTTCCCTCCATCTTTCTATCTCCTCAATTGGGTCAATTCTTACTAATTAGTATTTCCTTCAATTTATCGACTTGATTTAGGCTTACCCTTTTGATTTTATGGGTTGAATTTGAGAATTAATTGCTGAAAGAATGATGAAACTTCTGGGGTTGCAGATTTGGAGGTGGTTGCTTTGGGTACTGGGACTAAGTGTTTGCCCAGATCAAGTCGGAGTTCAAATGGGGATGTTGTCAATGATTCTCATGCTGAGATTATTGCTAGAAGAGCTTTGTTAAGGTAGTGAATATTTTGTGTTTTTGATGAATATGGGTCTTATGACAATTATGTTAGCCTACCCCAAATCATTTTGGGACGAGGGCTTTGTTGTCGTTGTTGATAGTTGTAGTGTTGTATTAGTGATATTATATTCTTCTATGTGATTGAACATTTAATGGTGATAGGGAGATTTTTTTTTGCTGTAGTGATATTATATACTTCTATGACAATTTGAATAGATGTACACTTGTTTGTTTTAATTGGTTCATGCAAGTTTAATTCTCGGAACATGTTCTTGATTATTTGGTAGCTTTCTGTAGTTGCCTTCGTGAGACTTAGTAAAATTGGAGATAATGGGATGTTAGTTTGGCCTATTCTTAGCATTTATTTGATTTAGGTGATTCTTTAAACGCGTAGTATGCAAAGGGTTCACTGAAACACCCCTGTTGTTGAGGTTGTGTATGTGGATGACTTTGTGCTAGATCACATTAAATTTGATGTTTTGAGCTGCTTAGACATGTATTATGTGTGATTTACAGTGGCTGCAATCATTAGGAATTGTAATCAATTATATATCATGGCCATTTGTGCCATTTGAATGATTTGATCATGAATTCATAAACCACCTTATCTGGTATATACCTTAATATGTTATGCAATTTTGTTTGGCGCTTTATCTAAGTCTCATTTGAGCTAACATTATATCTTAGTTGTTCAGTGACCATTTTGTGGTTGTTATTTGTTAAAGACTTAAAGTACGTCTTAAGCAGAATATCATTCTTAAGGCAAATAGTTAGAGTTACCTGATTAATATAGTGGCAACTTCAACATTTTTGTTTTCTCTATGCAAAATATCAGGTTCTTCTATTCACAAATTCATTCTTATTGCGATTTAAGTGAGCAACCACAAGGTGCCAATGGCAGAAAGTTGCCTATTTATTTGGAGACTGATGGGTCTGGTCAAGGGCGAAACAAGATCAAAGAGGGTTGGAATTTACATATGTATATTTCACAGCTTCCATGTGAGTCTAACTATATCTTATTTCTTTCATCTCTTGCGGGATAGTGATGTGTCCCAAATTATCTTTTGATAATTATTTATTCACTTTTTGCCTTTTTGGGATTTCTGTTATATTTTTATAGGTGGAGATGCTTCACTTAGTTTGCCACAATCGTTGAGAAATATTTCCTTTGGAGAAGAGGTCCCAGCATCATCAACAAATGTGTTTCATCCTCCCGGAGAAAAAACTTCCGAAGCTTTATTGAAGAAGAATGGTTGAATGTATTCTTTCATCTTCTCTACCTCTGCAGTTATATGACTTGGTTACATTATATCGTGATACATTATTTTACTAGATGCATCTTGTCTGCAGCGGCTTCTACATTAAACAGATGTTTCCATACAGCGTATTGTGCTTTTGATTGAACATGAAATCAGTAGAAGTTTATTGAGTAGAAGAAATTTTGTAGATTTATTGTATGGACTTTATGAGATGATGCCTGAAACCTTATAAATGGGGGAAGGCATTGCTAGCTCCTCATGTTATAATTAAAGATTACGAAATAATCATCATTAGTTAAGATCTATGGTGCATTACATATATGTCAGATTGTGTTAGAAAAAAGTAATGCATATCCCTTGTCTATGGATTTTCATCATGTGTTAGTCTCTAAATATTGAAAATTGTTCTTGGTGACTTTTTTTTTTTTTTTTTTGCAGGTGACTGTCCAACAATTACTGGCTTAGTTCAAAGAAAGCCTGGCCGTGGTGCCACGACTTCTTCTGTTAGCTGTTGTGACAAAATAGCACGCTGGAATGTTGTTGGAATACAAGGTCAGTCATCAGTCACTGGAGGGTTCCATGTGTGTTAAGGATTATGATCTTTTAAAATAAAGCCTTGAGCAAACAGACCTCAATTTTGATGTGATTTCTTGTGTGTCAGCTCTGTTTGTGAAGAAGTTTGGTAATTTGATCTTTCTATTGTCAATGAAAAACTTAAAAAAATAGGTTTAGATCTTTTAAATTTATTCATCCTATCCATGGAAAATGCTAGCAACTCCACACATAACAAAAGGGAGCTATAGAATGCATAGAAGAAAAAAAAAAGCAGCAAAGATTAGTCAAGATTGGAGTTAACTGTTTCGGTCATGATTTGTTGGGATAAAGAACAAAGAATGTAGAAAGCTACAAGGCAATCAGAAACGCAACATTGGTATCTGAATATGAGGAAAAAAATAAAAAAAATTACAAGTCTGTTTACGAATAGAAACATCATTTATTTAACTGTTAGTCTGTTACACATAGATCTATGGTATGTCTTTGATAACGAGATGTCTACTTTACTTTCGTATCAGGTGCAATGCTTTCCTACCTGCTCCAACCTGTTTATATTCAGTCACCATTGGGCAATCATGCAGTAGTTCTCAAACCCTTTCTCTGAAGGAAAACTTGAGGAGGGCATTGTATGATAGGCTAAAACCTATATCAAATATGTTAGTTGATCCTTTTCTAATTAATGAGGTATGCATAGTGTGTTAAATGTCAATGCAGTATGCACTTCGGCTCATCATAAAGGTGGCCTCTTGATTTTGCAGCCTTTATTTTTTGAAGCTCCTGTCCCACCTAAGGAATTTCAGCATCTTGGTTCTGCTCAGGCGACTTTAACGTGTGGGTGAGTCTTCATTTGGTTGTTCATTTCCTGGTGGTGGATATGTGACTTTGAGTTGCAAAATTCAAGCCACGGTGCTGTGCAGGTACTCCATATGCTGGAATAAACATGAATTACATGAGGTTATCCTTGGGACAACTGGAAGAAAGCAAGGAACCTCTTCAAAGGGAGCATTATTTCCATCCACGGAGTCATCCTTGTGCAAGTAACTTTTAATTGCTGCAATATATTTGTTTGCTCAACTTTTTTTGTTCATGGTAATGTTTCTTAAGGATAATTATCACTTGGCTGAATTTTTTATAAATATTTGTAAAATTATTAAATTCTGGTAAGTCATGTACTAAAAATGTTTAAAATGACTTTGCTTACATCTGGACAACTTGATCTCCTTAGAGGCTTGAACTTTGTTAGGTTATGGTGGTAGTGTTGATAATATTTGTGTGTTTATAGTTATAAATAGTGTCAGGTACTCAGATGTCACTCTCTATCTCATGTCTTATATTCATTACTGTGTATATTGCAGGAGGAGATTGTTGGAATGTTTTTTGTCATCGAGGTGCAATTCTTTGGATGATTGGAAAAACAAAACGATGTCATATAGAGAACTTAAGGTAACATGGCATTGGCTTTGATCCCCCTTCACTGAAGTGATTTTTTGGAAGTGCCCTACCCCTTAGAAAGTATATCATCCTTGCATATAAAGGTGAATTAACTCTAGGAGACAGAGGCTTCTTATAATACAACCTGAGCCAACCTTAATAAGAGGTCCATTTATGGGCCAGGGATTTTGAATTACTCCATGAGACCCTAAGATGTCATGGCATGCTTAATTGTCATGGCAGTGAGTTTCTCGACCCTTTGCCTTAGGATCAGTCAGTTCTTTATCTTGGTAGGGACAGGGAATGGATATAATTTGGCGGAAGAATTTCACTTTGACATGGTAGAACTCATTTGTTCAAGAGCCCAATTCTGTCTAAACTTAATGTGAGTTTTTCTATTATGACTTGCTCCCTTGTCGTGTTTTAATATTTGGTGCCCTAGTTTTTGAGGAACCACACGATTTCATTCCGAATTGGGTGGTTAAACACTAATCGTGGTGGCGATACAGTAAGTGAGATCCTGAATTGATATTGTATAGTACTCTGTATGTTGCCGGCAGTTAAACAACCAGAGTGTAATCAATATACTTAAAAATTCATAATGTCTGCTTATCTTGTCTTTGGTAAAAAGTCTTCTCATGTGAAACAAAACAATCAAATTTAAACGAGCTGCTGGCCAATGAAATTGAAGTTTGAAGGCTAAAAGCCTCCCGTATGTCCTCTAGCTATAGCCTATATGCACAATTTGATAATATTTAAATGTCACTAGTTGAAGAATAACAGCCAAGCATCACTCCACCACTGCAATCTGTTTCACTTTCTGGTTATTTCATAAATATATAACCCCCTCCCTATTGCCAGAATATGTTCCTGCTCTTCTGAAGTTCTTAATTCATTATGATATCTTTTGCAGGAAAATGCTCATGAGTACAACCAAATGTCTAAGATATTGAAGGGGAGCTCAACTTTCTGCAATTGGCTCTTGAAACCTGTTGATTCTGATATGTTCTCTATTAGCCTGTAGAGAGGTAAATGACGCTCTTTGATCCTTTTTTATTTTAATTTAAATTTATTTAATGGGAAAGTAAAGTACTCGCAGAAATGCTAACTGTTGACTGAACTAGTTGAATGGCTGTCTTTCAATGTGTATGCATCGGCATTTCATGGAAATTGATTCATCGATTTGAACGTGTCACATTCATTGAGCATTCTGAATGACTTGAAAGCTTATATATTCTGCAGTCAACCATTGAATGCAAAAGTTGAATTTTGGAAAAATCATGTATATTCCGGAATACATACAGTAGATTCCAGTTAAATTGTAAATCAGATCCAACATTTGTGTGAAAATGCTAGATTTAGAGTGAAACCTGAAGAATCTTGACCAGAAAGGCAGAAATCATCCTAATAATGTAATTTTGGTGTTTTGGGAGCTCATGAGCTTGCCACAGAAGCTGTTGAGATTTATCCCAATTTTTTTTTCTTCTTATATCCCGTATTTGAAGGGCATACCTTCTGTTTGATGAAAAACTTCGAAATTTTCAATACATTGACATACTACTTGAGGCAAAATTGAGCTGTAAGATAAGGATGTTTATACCAAAAAATAAATAAAACAATCTACGGAACACTTAAATGTAGCGGCCTCAACCACATAGGTTATGTGTATGCGCTCTCTTTCTCAAACACCCACATTTACCGTGACAACTTGGTTGCTACTAGTTTTAATGCAGATCCACTTTTTTCATTCACACATGGATATATTGCACTTGATTTTCACTTTGTTAGAGAGCATTATCAATTGAGCAATATGTTGATGCCCTTACGAAACCTCTTACTTAAACTCGTCTTTATCCGTGTGCGTAGCAATGTAGCATTATAAGGGTTTAGCCTCGATCAAACCGAGTTAAGGTTACATTTATTGCATCAGAATGTAATCGGCATGAATTGCATGACATTACTGGTTACAAGATTCTGCCTTTGTTAATGTTTTGCAGCCGGGGAGATAACGTGAAACTCGAGAAAATTCTTGCAGCAACATGTAGCATCACTTGAGCAATCAAAGGCGTAAACAATGTGACCCCTATACGTTTCAACATCATATACACAAGAAGGATCATCTTTGGAACATGCAATACGTTGGCCTAAAATACAAGAAAAAGGTGACTTGTGGCCCCACTTGTTACGAAATCAATGTCTTTAATACCATTGTTTTGCTTCCTACTTTCTATTGTAGTTAGATTGATTAAAATCTACAGTATATATGATACACTTTTAGAGTTTTAGGCATAGGCATCACAGACCCTGACTGCCATGAAAAACGAGTTTAAGTTCTTTGGTCGGAAAACTTTGGGTTATGGAAGTTATCATGCACTCGATTGGCTAAACATAGTCACAGGACCACGATGTCAAGAGTCGAAGAAACGTGCTGTAGCTGTCAATGTCTTGTTCTGTCTATTCTTGCTCTTCACCCTCTTATTTTGCTACGAACTTTTTGTTGGTTGGAGTAATTCTGTAAGTCAAATTTTAAACTTTGTTTTTAAATAGCGAATTCTTTGTTGCTATTACTCTTATATGCTTAAAAATAGATTAAGATTTGTTCTGGTTATAGTTTGTATTTCATCAATCTAACTATTGGACTACAATGTGTTCTTAATTCCTATCTACATATATGTATTGTACATGTTTCAATCCAGAAACTAAATATTTCGACCTCTAAATCCTTGCCATCACCACCACCGCCGCCATCCCAACTATATCCACTGCAATGTGTCATCAATAGTACCGCCCAATCATGTCTTCACAACTACCCTACAAACTACATCTCTATGAATCCTAGTCATCCAGCAACGTGCCCAGACTACTTCCGTTGGATCCATGAAGATCTACGGCCATGGAAGGAGAAAGGTGTCACAAAACAAATGGTTGAAGCGGGTCGAAAGACAGCCAACTTTAAGCTAGTGATCCTAGAAGGGAGGGTGTATGTAGAGAAGTATAGGGTTTCAATTCAAACTAGAGTTGAGTTCACTTTGTGGGGGATCCTACAACTACTAAGGCAGTATCCTGGGAGGTTGCCTGATTTGGAGCTAATGTTTGATTGTGGTGATAGGCCTGTAATTCCAGCAAAGAATTTTAAGAAGCCTAATTCTGGGCCACCACCCTTGTTCAAGTATTGCTCTGATCCATGGAGTTTGGACATTGTTTTTCCTGATTGGTCCTTCTGGGGTTGGTAAGTTTTAGCTTCTTGTTTTAAATTCCTTTATTTCAACCCGAGGCCAAATCTCATCTACATTGTCTCCCTGTTGCTCTCGACATCAAAGAGAGAGAAAATGGATTATAGTTATGTAATTAATTTTCCTATAATTGGTATTGGTATGTAGATTTGATTATAACGCTGTGTATAATTGAGTAGGGCGGAGTGCAACATAAAACCATGGAGAAATACATCTAGTGAAATACAAGAAGGGAGCAAGATGATAAAATGGAAGGACAGGATACCCTTAGCTTATTGGAGAGGCAACCCTAAAGTTGCACCATGGAGGGCAGATTTGCTCAAGTGCAATGCTACTAACACTACTGATTGGAGCGTTCGTGTCTATACTCAGGTCTCTTTTCATCAGTTGACCTGAACATTTCCATTAGGTAGTTCAATACCAACACATACGATAAATCAACGCGTAGAAAACTTAACATGATCAAGACAACACCCTAAAACATTAGTATCATTTGAGAAAGGATCATTATACATTTCATTATTGAATTGGGTCGTTTCCAAAACCAATTTGCCCTAAAAGAGGATAGTAAAGTTTGAACTCAAAACATTTACATTTGATTGCAGAATTGGGAAAAACAAGCTAAAATAGGGTTTAAAGAATCCAACCTCAAAGATCAGTGCACCCATAGGTATGATATTAGACTTATTAATTTATTTTTTACAATAATTTTATACTATTAATCTATTACGAAGTACTTCGTATAATATTTGTTTCATGTCATAAAAGGTACAAGATCTATATTGAAGGATGGGCTTGGTCTGTTAGTGAAAAATACATTCTAGGATGTGATTCTATGACATTGGTAGTAAAGCCCACATATCATGATTTTTTCAATAGAGGGATGTTGCCCTTGGTCCACTATTGGCCCATTAAGAACAACAATGAAAAATGCAAATCTCTCAAGTTTGCTGTTGAATGGGGAAATAGTCATGTTGATAAGGTAATTTCGTCACATTATTTGTATAGTGTGATTAAATTTTTTTAGTATTAATCTTGTATTAATCTATATGATTGGATAGACTCAGGAGATAGGGCAGGCCGCAAGTAGGTACATCCATGAAGATATGAAGATGGACTATGTTTATGACTATATGTTCCATTTGTTGAATGAGTATGCAAAGCTACTAAGGTTTAAGCCCGCGATACCTCCCAAAGCGGTTGAGCTTTGCTCTGAGGCAATGGCGTGTGGAGCTGAAGGTAACTGGAGGAAGTTCATGGAGGAATCCTTGGAAAAATCTCCAAGTAATGGTGTTCCTTGTTCTATGCCGCCTCCTTATGATCCCTTAGCTTTTAGAGGTTTTCTAGAGAAGAAAGCTAATTTGACAAGACAAGTAGAGATATGGGAAGATGAGTATTGGGTAAATTTGAACCCTAAAGCTAGAAAACTTTGACTGAATTACATCTATCGTATTCTTGTGCATTGTTAACGTTCTCGCAAATTAATGACAATATGTTAACTTAACTTTCGCTCTATATATTGGTTGATATGTACTTACCTATCTCAAGACTAATGATGAATAGTGTAGTATGAATCTTTCAAACAAAAACAAACTAAATGATTCAATCTATTTCCATAATAGCCAATGTTAACTCAATCACATTATAATGGAATCTCAATAATGTATCCAACAAAATTATACCAAGTATACTACGTGTATTAAAACTATATTAAAGTATAATTAACCAAGCTAATGGGCTAGTCATGTCTCTCACTCCCCATTTCCCAACCACCCAAAAATTTAAATTTAAAATTAATTAAAATTGTTTACAAGTCAAACTAAGCTTCAGAAGACTACCAAAAACACATGCCAACAAATCAACATCACTTTTTTTTTTTTTTTTTTCTTTTTTGTACTAGTATATTACAATAATACTCTCACTCATTCAAGAAAAAGCAACAATTAATTATATCATTTTGTCTTTAATCAGTAATTGGTTAAATTATTCTTTTTTTCTGGGGTGCTAAATATTGAGAATAAGAACTTGGTTGCTAAATAGTTGACAAAAAAAATCTAATGGTGGTGGGGAAGATTGATATGGCTTGGTTTACTGTCAATAAAAAGAAAATTCTCTTCTATTTTTACATCTTTTTATTCCTTGGTTGCATCCTTCTAGTTCGACGCTTCGATCACACCGTGGTAAGTCCTTTAATTTGAACATGTTGTTTTACGGAACAGGATTCTCTCTAGTTACTAGACGGTCTAAGTTAGATTTAGACGACCTCTCATATTTTAGCTCGTTACTTGATGGTCTAGTAATTAGAGAGTCTTTGGAGAATCTTTCGAGTAATTTTTGTGACATTTTTATGCACCGAACCCCATCAGAACTCGAAATAGTTACATATTGTTGTCAATAAATTGATTATTATTTCTTGTTTATTGTTTGTTGATTTCATTGATTTTGTTTCTCAGCCTTCAATTAAGATCACAAATCACAGCAATTCACCAGATTCAAGCAACAAAAACATCCCAACCTCAGTTCAAAACACACCAAAAATTGTAATACATTCATCAAAACCAACAGAATACCCCCTCATTTGTTCAAGCACAAACCAAACTTGCCTTAAAAACAACTACCCAACCACAAAAGAAGTCAGTGAGGCAAATATCATATCATCCTCAATCGACTCGTGCCCGAATTACTTTCGATGGATCCACGAAGATTTGCGACCTTGGATATTCCTTTCCCAGATTGGTCTTTTTGGGGTTGGTAATGTTTCTCCTTTTACTCCTTTTTTTTTTTTGTTTTATTTTTTTAATTTTAATGTCGGTTATTAATTTAATTGTAACACTCCTTCTGTCCATAAATAGTTGTTATAAATTCCCGATTTTTTCTAATTTGATGTGGTTTAAATTTTTATAACAGTTGTGTTAATTCTCATAGACAATAATATACTTGTAGACATGTAGTGGTGATGTAACAAGTATTAGAAAATTCAATTATGTAGTATATGCCATTATAATTTTGGAAAATGTGAATCTAAACAGTCTAAATATCCGACTATTTATTTTTGTTAATAAGATAGTCCAAATCTAGTTAAGTACAGAGGCAAGGCATGTATTGATAATTGATGTGTTTGGGCTCAATGTAGATCTCTTTTTGCTCTACTTTAATGATTAATTATTTTATTTTACGCCATGGTTGATTTATAATAATGTGTGGGGTCTAATTATGTCATTATGTAATGTGTGGTGGTACCATTAAAAACAGAAGAGGTGGGGTCTATTAAAATATACGTACGAAGCAAATAAATACTGTACTCTTCTACAGATTATATTCGTATTTTGTTATATTATGAAAGTTTCTTGAATTAAATGAGACAATCATAGTAAGATGGAGGAAACAGAAGACACGACTCAAGTTGCTATCGTGAAAGTTATGTTTATCGTAGTTGTAATTGGCATTAAGTGTACACTAAATCTTACTATGGTGCTGCAGGCATGAGAAAAACATAAAGCCATGGGAGACCCAATTGAATGACACAATTGAAGGCAACCAAAAAGTGAAATGGGTAAACAGAGTGCCCTATGCTTATTGGAAAGGTAATTCTTTAACAGGAAGCAGAAGAGACCTTCTTAGATGCAATTCGACTCGAGCGAAAGCTCAGATTTATGATCAGGTAACAAATCTTCTTATCCTCTACCTAGTAATCTTTAACACGACCTGAAACTACTTAGAACAACTTAAACCCGACTTGACTTGAACTTACCAACATAAATATGATCCATATATCGTATCTTGTTATTGTTGTTCCATGTCTTACAATCTTACATAACTTTTCACACGTTTTGAGTAAGATAAAAAAAATAAATAAAAATTACCCTAACCAAATTTGAACTCATTTGTTATATTCTAAGAACTTCGTTACTTTTTTTGTCTCTCAGAGTTCATCAAAGGAAGTTAATCATGGCTTTGAACAATCAAACATGGCAGATCAATGCACCCACCGGTAAGTTTTATTTCTTCATTTAGACAAATAACTAAATAAGTACAGGGTCGCTATGTGTACAAAGTGATAGCTAACCTAAAAACATATGCCACAATTAGTTTTATTTTAGTTCGCCCCAACATAATAGGCCACTTTCTAAGTTTAGTAACTTAAAATTTGAATTTGGAACTTTTATATGCAATTGGATGAAGTAGTGAGCTTTCTACTAAAATTTGATTGCATATGTTGATGGATAATGAAGGTACAAAATATACATGGAAGGAAAAGCATGGTCGACGAGTGAGAAATACATACAAGCTTGTGATTCAATGTTACTGCTAGTACAACCACAATACTATGAGTTTTATACAAGAAGTTTGCTACCATTGAAACAATATTGGCCTATTAATCCCTCCAAATTATGTGAATCCATCAAATTTGCTGTTACTTGGGGAAATAAACATCCAAACAAGGTACACTTTCCTCTTTATTTACGGTTTTAAAGACATGCTTGACCATAAATATCTTTAATTACGTAATAAATAAACTAGGAAAAAGTTCGGATTATTTTTCTCCACTTTTGAACATCTAAAATAATTAAGCCAATCGTTGAATCATGATCTTGAATTCTTAACAAAATGCAGGCACAAGAGATAGCAAAGGGTGGAAGCAAGTTCATAACAGAGGAGTTAAACATGAGATACATTTATGATTACATGTTTCATTTGTTAAATGAATATGGAAAACTCATGAAATACAAGCCAACTATTCCTCCAAATGCTGTAGAAGTTTGTACAGAAACAATGGCTTGCAAAACTTCTGCCAAAGAAAAAGAGTGGAAATTAAATTCCCTTGTAAAATCTCCTTCCCAAATAAGCCCTTGTTCAATTCCTCCTGCTTATGATCCTCATCATCTTCAAACATTTCTTAATACTAAAGAGGAGATTTTTAGGGATGTTGAGGGATTGAGTAGAGTAGGATGATACTTAAATTTTGTTTAGATTGAGTATTATATACGGAGTATTGTCCAATTTTGTAAATAAGCACCTTTTTTCAGGGGAAATTATTGGTTACGGATTAGTTTTGTAACTAAATATAAAAAAGGCTTAAGTGGCTTGTTACTAGCTCTCTTATACGAAGTTTTTATTTTTTCAATTCATTTTCTAACATACACACTTTTATTTATCTTTTGAATAACATAATGTTATGATGAGTTAATGGTAATAGTGGAAATTTTCCATCATAATGATAAAAATTAAGGATTACGCTGTATTTATGTAATGATACGATTTGTTTGGTAGTATGAAGATCGTTTCTTATTTTATGTTAACTGATCTTATGTTATGTAAAAAAATACTCATCAATAATGATGAATAATAATAATAATAATAATACAATCTACAATATTAAACCTTCATCTAAACTTGAAAAAAAAAACCATGACTAATAGCAATTAAAATGAGAAAATTTATAGCTAAAGATGGTATATAAGACAAGTTTCAAACTTCAAAGTGTGAGGTTATGGAATATGTGATGCATTTTCTGGTTTGACAGAGAGAATTGCGCTTCTTTTGTACAATTTTCATTTCTTTTGCCAACAAGAAAATACTGTTTTTTCTCTTTTCTTTTGGTCTTTTCAATTTCCACACCATACATTGCCAATAATATGGTCAATGTATACAACTCAACATGCATTCTCAATTGGTAGAAGCCATAACATGGCCTTTCAAGCGAAGGTCTTCAACTGTTATCCTGTTTTATGCCATCCTCCTCGTTGTTGCCTTCGTCGGAACCCGGTACATGACCGTTGTAAGTCTCTGATCCCTATTTTTCGATATACCATTCATAAATATGTTCTTTAACTTTGAAGAAAATTCATCAAGAGAATGACATATTATGTAATTTAGGACTATTTTGGGAAAATTTAATCTTGAAACTTCATAGCATGATTGTAATTTGTAAGTTATCGTGATGAAATGATTAATCCCTTTTCAGCTTTTGTTATAGAGACCAATTGTGTAACCTAATGTAACATATGTGCTTGTTAATTTTATTTGGGGGACATTCTCAATGCATTTCTATATCAACATTAACGTTACCCCAATACCTTTATAGATTCCCGTCCAAAAAGGACTATAGAAACATCGTGTCTTCATGATTACTAAACTAATGTATCATTTCTGATTACACAGCCATCAATTTCAGCAACAAGATTAATCAGAAAAGCACTTCCAGGCTCTAAACAAATAACTGTAACAAAATCTCATCCTTTGAAAAAAACAGAATTCCCTTTACAATGCACCCCTGAAATGATCAATGCCACCCAAACATGCCCTTCCAATTACTACCCAACCACATTTAACCCTACTAACCCATCAACCCGAACATGCCCCGAATACTTCAAATGGATCCATGAAGACCTCCGGCCTTGGAGAGACACCGGCATCACTAGGCACATGGTTGAAGCAGCTAAAGAATTCGCGTTTTTTAGACTAGTTGTGGTTGATGGTAAGGTGTATTGGGAAAAATATAGAGATGCTTATCAAACAAGGGATGTTTTTACCATTTGGGGAATACTGCAGCTTCTAAGACTTTATCCAGGGAAGCTACCGGACTTGGATATCATGTTCGAGGCAGGGGATGTTCCCGTGGTTCGCAAGAGTAACTACACCGGACATGAATCGAATGCTCCTCCTTTGTTTCATTATTGTGGAGATGATGATACTCTTGATATAGTGTTTCCTGACTGGTCTTTTTGGGGCTGGTAAGAAGCTAAGAACCTTATTTTAAGAAATATAAACACTTCTATTTTCGTAAGCATATTAGAGCTGATCACGAGCCAGGCTGCAGCTAGGCTGCCCAAATTGGACTAGGCCATACTCGATTACTCTAAGCTAGGCTTATCATACATTCATACCAAGTATATAATCGCGTGTGTTTGTTCTGTATCCTGATTTTTTTGTTTATTATAGGCCAGAGATCAACATAAAAGGGTGGGAAGGATTGAAGAAGGATTTAGCAGAAGGAAACAATAGAGTTCCATGGATGAATAGGTTACCTTTCGCCTTTTGGAAAGGGAATGCTGATATGGGTGACAGAATTAAGCTTCTTCAGTGCAATTCTACTGACCGGTGGAAAACTCAGATTGCTACTCAGGTAACACTATTCCTAAACTAAATCGTCGTAGCCTAAAAGCCTATACACACGTTTTTACAGTAATCTACTTAAGCTAATGTGATCATATGGACTATTTGGCACTTGCAGGATTGGGAGCAAGAAACCAAGTTGGGCTTCAAGTCATCAAATTTAGCTGATCAATGTGTCCATAGGTTGGTAATCATACTAGACCGCGATTTTCTCTGTATCTTGTAGTGATTACATACAGAGTAAATGTCTAATGGTTAATCTCCTAAACAGAACTGCGCGCTATACATGTTCTTATACTGTTATTTATTTTTTCTTGAAAAGGTACAAGATCTATATTGAAGGAATCGCGTGGTCTGTGAGTGAGAAATATATTCTAGCATGTAATTCTCTAGCACTTCTTGTAACACCTAAGTGGTACGAGTTCTTTACAAGAAGCTTAATACCCATGAAGCATTTTTGGCCTATTAATCCTAATCCTGAGAAGTTATGCAAGTCCCTGAAGTTTGCTGTTGATTGGGGTAACAAGCATACAGAAAAGGTAAAATGTTACAGATTATAAAATTTTAGTAACATGTTCTTGTGATCATACACCGATAATTCACTAAATTTTCCAATGTTTATGTAATCAACAGGCACAAAAGATTGGAAAAGCGGGCAGCAAATTTGTCCAAGAACAATTAACCATGGAAAATGTCTACGATTACATGTTTCATTTGTTGAATGAGTACGCGAAACTATTAAGGTATAAACCAACTGTGCCACCAGGAGTTAATCAAACGTGCTCAGAGGAGATGGCTTGCCTTCAAGAAGGGCTACAAAAGCAATTTAGACTAGACAATATGGTTAAGGGTCCTTCTAATACAAACCCATGTATATTAGAACCTCCTCAAGCACCTCAAGTTATTAAGGATTTCTTGGAAAAACAAGATAGTGTAAGAAGGCACGTTGATGGGTGGGTGGTGCAGGGGAGTTCTAGCGAAGATTTATGAGGTTAAGATGAAACGGAGATTGAACAAAGGACGCGGAGGAGGAGGAGGAGGAGGTGGTGGTGATAGGAATTAATATGCACCAACAACAAACGTTACAACCTTGGACAAAGTCTAGCAACAAAAGGAAACACGCACATGTACGCCTCCTAGAAGGATTTGTTTAGTTGACTGACATCTTCAGGCTCCAACTTTGCACGGTAGATTGGCCTAATTAAGCTTAAGGTGTTGTTAGAAAATGGAAAAAGTTGAACAAAAAAAAGTTGAATATGGTTACATTTCAAAATGAAAGAGGATCACAGGGCTTAATATCTTCAGACAATGATGTTGTACAATACGTGGTATATACGCTGTATCAAATTTTTTTGTACTCCGTGTGTACTACATACTACGTTTTAAATAGAATGCATGTCTCTTGTATATTGATTGCCAAGTATACTATTAGTTAACATGTGTTGATTTTTAACGCAAACTAGATAACATAGTTTGACCATGGTGAGGGGATTTGCACTCGTGGCCTTGTATAGGGACCCTCAGTCTTAACCACTAGCCAAAATCTTATCGGTTATACAATATTCTCTTGCTCTAGCTCCACTAGGAAGTGTCCATTGATCGTCATTGGGCGGAGAGCTTATTCCTAACTAATCTCATCTTGACGTTAATTAATAAGTGATTACCAAATATCAAATAGAATTAGTTTTGTCTATTTCTGCAACATACATACTCGAGAGCATAAAAGAATTGAAGGGTGCGAGGCTTAAGCTAAAAGCAAATCAGCAACCAGCTCGTTTGCTTAACAATTAATTGATTATTTTTAATTAGTCTCCTAATGACCTGCTTATGCTTATTGTACTTAATTATAGACCAAATTCCTTAGTTGATCCAAGTCAAATGTTGTTAATGATTTAATAATCATCTAATCTTAATTAATCATATCTTTGGTTAATCACATCATTTAACTCGAGGCTAAATCTGAGGTACTCTTTGATTGATGATTGGTTTCAAAATATGTAAACAATTTATTTTTAAAGTACAAGACACACTATAAGCTAAGCTAAGGTTAAGGATCCTTATTTTTAAAGGTAAACTCGGCCAAATCAATGTACATTATAAAGTCTAACTATGTGATTTCCAAGTTTATATAGTAGGTCTACTCAACGTATATTATGTCATTATTATGTGCTATAAAACAAATGTCTGAGGTCAGGGAGCAAGACGTAACATCGTTATTTTTGGAGGTCTCGATGCAAAGTTTGTTACCATAATTCCCTAAAGGGCTAAGGCGTGACACCTCTCAAAAAAGCCTTAATGTATAACTGTTATTTCACGAGAGAAATTTGATGTAGTCAACTTAAATTAGTTGATAAAAGTCTTGAAATGTAATCTATTTTTTCACTAGGAGTATATTGTGACTCTAATAGACCGTAAAATTATTTATTAGAAAAAATTATTAGAGAATTCGAGCTTTGCTTGGTTATTTAATTTCCATTAATACATGAATACAAATTTTATTCGGATTAATAGTCACTTCTAAAAAGCTTTTACCCGACCCCATTGAAATTCACTTGGGTTACTAAGGGTCTGTTCTCATTGACTAAAATGAACTTAACTGAATTGAACTTATTATAGCTGAATTGAATCAAAATGAATATTTTATAAGAGAAGAAAAAATTAGGAGCTAAACTGAAGTGTAAACTTATTAAAGTCGAACTGAACTAAACTAAAATGAAAATTATTGTATGAGAACAGACCCTAAGACCCTAGACCCAAAAATAAATTAGAGTAACATTTAATAATAATAAAGAACTACACGTGATATCATATTCAACCAAATAAAATCATTTATGAACATAAATAAATTATATGATAAAGTATGATAATTAGGTAATATCAATAAAGATTATTATTGGAGCTTTTTTCTTGCCATTAAAACAAAGAATAAAAAAATAAATAAGAAAAATCTTGAATATTCCGCACGTTAATGTCAATGTCAAACGTAAGACTAACTATTAACTAATATTATCCCCATACCTTATTATGACAACTAAACCTTTCTTTTTTTCTTTTACTCCCAAGAAAATTCAACCTCATTAATAATATTATTGTTGTTATTATTAACAAATTATCTATGTCATTAATCAACCATATGACATCATATGGTATATTTTGGTGTATATATACTCGTATAAGTTTACACATTTCTTAGTGCATGAATCACCAACTGTTCAACTAAAGAAAAAAATAAAGAAAAACAGAGAAGATGGAAGAGTATTCTACTTCTTCCTCTTCAAACAATGACTCAAACAGTATGAAAAAATTATGTGATTCATTCAAATTAAAAGTTTGTTCTTTTTCGTCGTCGTCGTGGAAATCGAATAGATTTTCCGCAACAACAGCTTCTTTGCTTCTCTTCTTCCTTTTCATATGTACCCTTGTTTTCACTAGATGGTCTGATATTGTAAGTCCTTTTTATTTCCTCTTATTTTCTTGTTTCCTCTCTTTGTTTGTTTTTTTTTTTTTTTTTTTTTTTTTTTTTTTTTTTTTGAGATTTTAATCAATTCATATAATTTTGGTGGTTTATATGTTTATTAATAATTGAATTTAATGTTTAATTTTAAAGTTATTATTATGATAAATGATGATTTATGAATTATATGATGCATGATTGCATGGTATGACTTGATTATGTTCATAATTGTTGTAGTGATTATTCTTACCTTGTTTATTACTTGTATGTTTTTGATTTTCTTGAGTATTCTCATATGATCATGATTCTTGTACTTTGATACGTAACTTTTTTTTTTTTTTTTTTTTTTTTTTTTTTTTTTTGCCTCTCTCTTTTTTGGGTGGGGTGTAGACAACTTTGAAAATTTGGTTTTTCGTGGTACGGTGGGCTTTAATGGAGTAATTATTTAGGTTTAACTTGTTTAATTGGTATTGACAAATAGGCAAATTTTGAGCTTTCTTAAAAGTTAAAGCATATTGGCTAATCCTTAATTGTAAAGGCGGTAAATTACTTCGTAATAAGTTACACACGCAGCAGTTGTAACAAGACAATAAGTTACTCACAATTCACAAGAGTTACAAGCTAATAAATATGTTAATTCGGGAAACTGAGACTGATTTATTGGTGAGATCGGATTAAATTGGTTTATTTCAAAGTCTTGTCATACTAATTCATTAAGTCCATACAAGTCAGAAATTTAGATTGGATTTTTTTTTTCCAAGTCAATCAAGTCAGTTTTTGACACCACCATAATTCACAATAAGACAATTATCACCCATTAATGACATAGATACCTAGTTTAATGACATAGATTGTTAGATACATAAAATTTCCGGCCTTGACGTATTACTAGCCTGATACTTTGTTACAAGTTAATCTCTAACATAGTCGGTGATATTGAAATGTTGCGGTGTTCATGATTTCATATGCAAAGTTGGTTTTAGTGAATTCAAATTTGGAGAAATATTTTAATAGGTTCGTGATGTAAGTTTTATATTTTGGTAATTTGTAATTTTAAAGATCAAATATAAAAGAGAATTGGTAAAAATAGTTTTAATCACTATTAAATAAAAATAATTTAAATATAGTAAAATAATTTAAGTTCAAGAAATATTAAGTAAAGAAAACATAACTTTATTATTAAAATATGCAATTATAGATATTGAATTTTGTTTTATTTATTTATTTATTTTTTTATTAATACGGTAAAATACGGGAGGTTTTCACTCTATCACCAAAGTGATTCAAAGTCAACTTTTGAGCAATAGACAAATCGATCAAATAATGTTTGATATAAACTCCTTAATAGCTCTTTCAAATCAGATAGTAATGGTTTTAATTATTTTTCTCGTATAGTAGTGACTCCTTCGATGAATTCAATTGGTTGATTTGTACGGAGATTTCCAATCAAAACCTTTGAAAACTATACTGTAAAGCAACCAATAGCTTACTAGTACGTGGTGGTGGTCCAAGTGATTATCTACCCTCGACGTTACTTAAACGTACAAAAAGTAAAATAAAAGTGTGGATGATCTATAGTATATACGTAAATAAAAGGAATATAGTTATATCACCCAATATGTAAAATTCAATTAAAAATACACGATATTTTTGGGGAGAAAATAAAAACATACACTTATATTTGCATTTGCTTAACCATACTTATGTTAATTCGCTACTTTGCTAGATACAACTACGCAAAGGGGGATAGAGAAGGGAAATAGAGAGAGGATTGCCCGCCTTAGGACTAGGTTTGGTAATTGTGGGCGTGGGTCATGTCAAAATATGGTCACTTTTAATTGGGTCAGATATGGATCGTAAGTTCGTAATCTTGTAGGTTAATATATATAGAGGTATAGAGGGTCAATAACAGATAGATCAATAAACCATAAAAATATACAAAGTAAAATGTAGAAGATTTTGTATAGGCCGGGTAACCTTGTCCAATAATAATTTTATCCATTTTTAATAAAAACCTTTTTACCCCATAAGATATTCAGATTACCCTATACAATAACCAGTTTTACGTAATCCTTGTGTCAAAAAAAAAATGTTAGGACTTCGGATAGAAAATAGTAGGGGTAGAGAGTCATGGTCCTCATGGATGGGACTATATATGGATGGAAATTACAAAGATTTGGTTTTAATATTGGTTTACATTTAGAAAATTCCATATTTAATCAGTCCATAAGTCAACTAATACCAAAAAGTCATCCACCAAAACTACAATGCACGGCACAGTTTGTTAGGCTGATGGTAAAATACACTTCCTAGCTGAGAATTTGAGATCAACTTCTTTTGTCATCTTATAACATTGTACATGAACTTTGAATGTTCTGTATGCATTACTGTCAGTTTCTGACCCGAACCGTTAAACCCGACTATTTCGAACCAATTCGAAAAGGAACTGAACTGTTTAAAACCCGTTTTTTGGAAACCGAAAACTGACCCGACCCAATTTTTCCAAACCGAAACTGAACTGAACCGAATTTGTGCAAATCGTTACTAACCTGACCCGTTATCAAGCCAAACCGTTACAACCCGAAACTGAAAGCAACCCAAACCGATTAAATTTAAACCCGATAGTAACTCGACCCGCTTTAAACCGAAAACCGTTAAAACCCGATAAAAATCCGATAAACCTAAATCGTTCCAACCCGTAACCCGTTGTGACCCAACCGGTTATAATCTGTAACCCGTTGTGACCGAACCGTTTACGACCCGTAACCTGTTGTGACCAAACCGTTTAAAACCCGTAACCCGTTATGACTGAGTCATTTACAACCGGCCTGTTACCCAATATGTTTATGTTTTAATATGTTTCAACCCACTACTCGATAAACCCAACTTATTTATGACTTGACTTGATTATAACATGACTCGATCCTACCCGTTATCTGACTAATTCGACTCGATAATCATCCGACTCAATTTTAACCCGATATGATTTGATTAGAAACCCGCTTCAAATTGGGTAAACTCGTTTTCGAATCAACCAAGTTCAATCTAACCGATTATAACCTGAAAAAATAATGGTTGGACCCGATTTCACCCGATCTGTTTTGAACCGAACCCATTTTCGAACCGACCCAGTTAAACCCAAACTGATTATGACCCGAACCAATTACGACCCGTCTTGATTAAGACCAGAACTGTTTTTAACCGAACCGAAACCCACATTAAACAGGCTAAACCCATTTTCAAACTGACCCGGTTCAACCCAAATTGATTATGACCCGAACCGACTAGAACCCGACTCGATAAGGATCTGATCCGAATAGAAACTGCAATTAAAAAAACCAAACCGAACTGACCCGATAATTTTCAAAACCGACCCAAACTGACCCGCTTATTATTTCAATCCGTTATAAACCGACCCGTTATAACCCGAAACTGATAAACCCAACCCAAACCCGAACTGTTTAACCGAATTGACACCCCTATCTGTATGTATATCTTGATTGGACCAATTCCATTTAACTGAGTGTTCTGTATGTAATAGAAAATATATTTTCTACTTATATATAGATGGTTGGGTAGGAATCGTTAGGATTATAGATTATGGAATCTTCAATATCATTTCTATATGTCTAATAACAAAATTTTACATTTGCTCGCTAGACTCCAATGGTGAAACATGTATGACTATCATATGTGATCATATAAAATCTCAATGCATTTATATTGTTGATTGAATACCAATCCGTGTACAGATACTTGCCTGCTTTTAAAGTATCGTGTTTTTAACAAGTCTCTAAATTAATATTCCAAATATTACTTACCTTATACATAATGCTAAACAATTATTATATTTTATTGTGTAATTATATTAATCAACCAAGAATATTTTTTTTTTTTGATGCATTTTTTTCAGTCAACTTTAGCAAGCAGCTCAGGGTCATTCACCTTCTTAATGTTCTCAAACCACAACAAACAAGAGTACCCAAAGAGAGATGAGTATCTCCTCAACTGCACCTCAAGCAACATGACTATAACATGCCCATCAAACTACCCTCCTACATCGAATCACCCCTTTACGTCGAACGAAACGTGCCCCGAGTACTTCCGATGGATACACGAAGACTTGAAGACATGGAACAAGAAAGGGATTACAAGAGAAATGGTTGAGAGTCTAAAAGATGTTACTCATTTTAGACTCGTTATTGTGAATGGAACGGCCTATGTAAAGAGATACGCAAAGGCGTTCCAAACAAGGGATACGTACACATTTTGGGGTATATTACAACTCCTTAAGTTGTACCCTGGTAGATTACCTGACCTAGATTTAGTGTTTCAATGCCATGATCAAGCATCCATCAAGAAAGACAAATATAAAGGAAGAAAAGCCGCCTTTGCTCCTCCACAATTTCATTATTGTGGTGATGATTCTACTTTTGATATCGTCTTTCCCGATTGGTCTTTTTGGGGATGGTAATTATTCATCCATCACTTTAAATACACTTCCTCCGTTTATTTATTATTGCACCATACTACTTGGGCACTATAAATTTGGTAGAGGCAAAAAGAAAGAGAGGAAACGTAAAAATACAAAAGTGACTTAACATAGACTAGGTAATAAGTTGGGTATTTGCAGTGTGAACATAGATAATTTTTGTCCTAAAATAGAAATGGTGCAATATATTGAAACTTCCTTAAGAGGCAAGTAGTGCAATATTAAAAGAACGGAGGAAATATTTAGTTTCGAGAGGTGTTACATATGTTGAACGTTACATGCTATAACAACATTGACATGCACATGATTAGAACAATTATGTAAAAATTAAACATCATATCATATATATAAGTCTAGCAATATTCATCAAGGATGATTTTTTTAATTTATGTTGTAATAATCATGTGTAAATTAATAATGTATTTATTTTGTATTGTTTCAGGCCGGATATTAATATAAAGCCATGGGTGCCCTTGGAGAAAGATTTTAAAGAAGGTAACGCGATGAAGAACTGGACTTCTAGGGAGCCCTATGCTTTTTGGAAAGGTAACTTGCATACTGGTCCAAGACAGAAGCTTGGTAAATGCAATTCTGTAAATGATTGGAACGCTAAAATTGTTAACCAGGTAATTATAATCTAAGCTTTGATTTGTTGCATCGCATAATTTGAAGTACGCATCACATGCATATAGATTAAAAATAGTAATGCTTGTTAAAGTAGTGCACCGCACAAGATTAACCTAGCTGGTAGCTAATTAAAGCGGTGTACATTGGCAGAATTGGGGCAAGGAAGTTGCAGAGGGATTTAAGAACTCTGATTTGTCAAAGCAATGTACTCATAGGTAATAGGTAGATCTTTATTCTTTAATTTTAATTTTTGCTAAGACTTTTTTTTAAAAAAAATTATAGAATTTAATTTGTGTGATTTATGTGCAGATACAAGATATATATGGAAGGAAATGCATGGTCAGTTAGCGAGAAATACATCTTAGCTTGTGATTCCATGACCCTTCTCGTAAACCCTGTATACTATGAATTTTTTACAAGAAGCTTAATTCCAATGAAGCATTATTGGCCCGTAAACCCTAATAATCTATGTCGTTCCATCAAGTTTGCTGTAAATTGGAGCAACAACAACACTGACAAGGTAAGTAACAAAATGCATGCCAATTAATTCATCTTTTAAAATACTCCTTTTAATTTGATCTCCTAAATTACAATGCATGATAGATTGATAATATAAGGCTATATCGTTCATAAATTATTAGCATATACTTCCTCCGTTTTTTAATTTCTAAAATTGAATTAATTGATGTATTAACAGGCTCAAGAGATTGGAAAAGAAGGAAGCAAATTCATATTCGATCAAATAAAGATGCAAAGCGTGTACGATTATATGTTTCATTTGTTGGATGGATATGCAAAGCTACTAAGGTATAGGCCCACCGTACCCGAAGGGGCCATTGACTTATGCTCTGAAAAATTTGCATGCAGCCCAATGGGCTTGGAGACAACGTATAAAAAAGAGACCATGGTTAATGGGCCTTCAGAAAAAGGCCCATGTAAACTTCCCCCACCATATGATCCACAAACCCTTAAATCTATTCATAAGCAAAATGCCAAGATCAAGGAAGTTGTTGAGATGTGGGAAAAAGGAAGTGGTAAACCTGGGCACGGGCCGGGTTGGCCCGCGTGCCGCCCGGCACGGCCCGAATTCAAGCACGCACGGCACGAAGTTCAACTCCCGTGCCACGGGCCATGCCACGGACAGGGTTGAGAATTCCCAGGCACGACCCGACACGAGCACGAGCATGGCCCGTCGTGCCGGCCCGCAGGCACGGCCCGCGGGCCAACGGTAATGTTACCGTTTATTCTAGCTCCTTAATAAGCCAAAAAAACGGCTAAAAAACGGCTAGTTTTTTGCCAATTTGCTCCCCAAAAATTCTATAAATACTCACCTCCATTTCATTCCCAAATCACAAAATCACAATCTCTTCTTCTTATCTCTTATATTCTCTAAATCTCTAATAATCCTTATTTTCTTAAATTCTCTAATTATTCTCTTAAATTCTCTAATTATTTTCCTAATATCGGAAAAAATTAAAAAGTTCGTAATCGTAATTAGTGGAGCGTTGAAGCACGGTTGTAAGATCTAAACTAATCTTAAATTTATTATTGTTTTATTGTTATTATTAGAATAATCTTGTTTAATTATTATTGTTGTTAATTGTTATTGTTGTTGTTATAATTGTTGTTATTAATTATTATTATTGTTACAATTGTTGTTATTATTTATTTTTGTTGTTATTGTTATTGTTATAGTTGTTGTTATTAATTAATATTATTGATATTTTTATTGTTAAAATTGTTGTTATTAATTATTATTATTATAGTTAACCACTTTTTATTAAAAAATTAATTGTTAATTATGGCATCGAACAACCCATCATCTAGGTCTAGGGGGAAAGGCCGACTTATCCGTAGTAGTAGTTCTAGGGAACCACCAAATACAACGAGCCCCCAAATTACGAGTCAAACCAATGACCCCATTTACTTCCCCCCGGGCTATGAGCCATATAATACGTCGGGATTTCCAGCACCACCACTAAACCAATTTCCACTACCACCATACCAATTTCCACCTAATTATATCGGTGATCAACAAAACTATTGTTCTAGCCAAGGTAGCCAAGAAAGTACCCGAATTCCCTCCGGTTCTATCCCTTCTACTGCCACTCCCACTACTAACCATCACACACATCATGAATGGTTAACCGAAACTGAGATGCTACTTTTGAAAAACCGAAGGAGTGAGGTATGGCGTTATTTTGTCCTAAGTAAAGATGGTGAACAATGGGCACAATGTAAAACATGTAATAGTGTATTCACGGCAGTTACCAAAAACGGGACGGGACACTTATCTAGACACATGAAAGCTTGTGCAAAACCAGCTAGTGATCCAACCCAGCCCAAAATTTCCCAATTCCATCCATACGGCTTTACATACAACTATGAGAGGGATAGGGATGAACTAGGAAAAATGATAGTACACGCCGAACAACCTTTTCTTTTCTCGGAAAGTGACGCATTCAACACCTACATTAACAAAGCACTACAACCCGAACATAAAAGAATCTCTAGGAAAACCGTTCGTTCCGCCGCAATGAAAAATTTCCTAGAGTACAAAGTCCGGTTACAAGCCGAATTGAGTAACCTTAACTGTAGAGTATCTTTAACAGCCGATTCTTGGGATAGTGGTTATAAATATCACTATTTATGTGTGACTTGCCATTGGGTAGATGATCAATGGATGTTACAAAAAAGAATAATACATTTCAAAATGCTGGAATACCCACACACCGGCATTAACATTGCTCACCATTTAATGCAAGCAATAGACGAATACAACCTTCGAGATAAAATGATGTCTATGACTTTTGATAATGCAACCTCTATGACATACACAACTAATCTTATCAAACAAAACTTAACCGATGTACTATTAGACGGTGAAGCTCTTCATACTAGATGTGTTTGCCATGTACTTAACTTATGTGTACAGGATGGAGTTCGGGCAATTGGCCCATACTACAGCAAAATCAGAAATGCTATTATGTCTATTAATAGCTCTAACATGAGATACCAAGAATGGAAGAGTTTTCTAAAACAACAAAAGATAAGGGTAATAAAAATTAGAACCGATTGCCCAACTAGGTGGAATTCCACCTATGACATGTTAACAAAGGCAATTGAGTACAAGGGCCCGTTAACATTATTTTACAACCAAAAATTTCCACAAAATGCTTTGTATGATGATGATTGGAATAACTGTGAAAGATATATGCAATTTTTACAGTTATTATATAACATGACGTATTGTTTTTCTACTGTTTACAATCCTTGTGCTCAAAACTTTCTTTCTAATGCATGCTTACTCGCCCAACTTTTCGCTGATCATCGCCATCAAAGTGATTATGATCAGTATCTTCCAGCAATGGAAAAAAAGTGGCGTAAATATTATAGTGAGATTCCTTTGATTTATATTTTTGCTTCCATATTAGATCCTAGGCAAAAGTATGAAAACACATTTATGTTAGTTGACATTTACTTTCAATGCATGTTTCTTGACGATGATGTAGAAAACTATAAGACTAATGTGAAGGATCAGTTTTTTGCTTTATATAGAGTCTATGAAGCCAAATATGGCACCGTTCCTCGCTCAGGGCCTTCCCAACCATCCAAAAACGTAAGTAAGAAGGCCAAACATTTATTTTCACAAGCTACTAACTTGATTTCAAGGTTTTCAGGTGATTCATCAATCAGGACAACGCAAAGCGACGTCTTGGAGTTGCAGATGTACCTGAGTTACGACTTCACCAAAGGCATGGACGACGATGAGATAAACAGCCTCGACCTCCTTGCATGGTGGAAACAACAAAGCTCGAAGCATCCAACTTTGGCAGCAATGGCACGAGACATTCTTGCTATCCAAGTTTCCTCCGTCGCCTCCGAACGAGCTTTCAGCGCATCCGGAAGGGTTTTAGACGATAGAAGAACAAGTCTAAAACCCGAAACACTAGAAATGTGCGTGTGTTTCAAAGATTGGTTGGATGCGGAAAATCGCTCACAAGACCGTTCTTACGACCACAACGACAACGAAGAAGGAACCTCCGCTTCCGGTTCGGGTTCGGCTAGTTCCCAATCTATGCAACTAGCCGATGACCTTGAAGGCGAAGGCGAAGACGAAGAAGGAGAAGAAGAATAGACAATTATTGTATATTGTACGATTTTAAAAATATCAATTTTATCATTTTCCAATTTTTGTTTAATACCATCATTGTATGATTTTTATCATTGTTATCATTGTACAATTTTCTCAACTCAAGTAATAATAATATAAAGTACGCATTATTCACATCCAAAGTCCAATTTGCCTTTTTTCCCCGTTTTGTTACAATTTGTAAATTCATATTAAAATAAAATAAAATTATACCAATTACTAATAAATCATAAACATTAAATTTTAAAGTAATAGTATAAAGTAAATATATAAATATAAATATTGAATATACAAATTATAAAACATAAATATTCAACTTATAATTATAAAATTCATAACTTAATAACTTATAACTTATAAGTTATAAACTTATAAAACTTATAATTATAATTTTATAACTTATATACATTATAAACTTATTAATTTATAATGTTGTCATATAAAAAAAAAAAAAAAAAAAAAAAAAAAAAAAAAAAAAAAAAAATTATTTGAAAACTGCACCAGCCCGCAGGCCGGCACGTGGCCGGCACGGCACGAGGGCCGTGCCGTGCCGTGGGCTGGCCTGTGAAAATGGCCGGCACGGCACGGCACGAAATCCTGGGCCCGCCGGCACGACGGGCACGGCACAAACCTGCCCGTGGCCCGCCAGGCACGGCCCGCGGCGGCCCGGCCCGGCACGGTGCCCAGGTTTAGGAAGTGGCTAATTTACCACATTTTTGAGAATATAATTGTAAAACTGCATTCATAATTCAACTTGTAACAAATAAAGACATAGAAGTAGAATTGTAGAAATAGTTTTTTTTTTTTTTTTTTTTCTTACATATGTATTTAGTATAGACATCTTCTTTCCAAAACTAATATACTACATAATTCTTTTCCTTATGCAATTCGTTTTTACTAGGGGTGAGCAAAAATTCCGGATACTCGAAATTGGAATTGGAATCGGTGGGTTCGGAGCCGGAATTAGACCCGGTGGTTCCAATTTCGGGTAATAAATTAAGGAGCTGGTTGCAACCGTTTCCAATTTCAATTCTTGATTTTTTGGACCCGAAATCAGTTGGCTACCCGATTAACTAACATATGCTACACTAAATAAGTTTTTTTTTTTAAAATAAAATTATGTTAAATGTATAAGACTCACTTTAACCGAAGGGGCCATAAAGCTGCGCTCCGATAAATTTAAAAGCAGCCTAATGGACTTAACTTGCTATTTTGTCCAAACTCGCAAATCATATACTCTGTATCATTTAACAACCAAATTATATGATTTACATCTTATGGTATTTTTTGATGTATAAGTATATATATAAACATTTCCTAGTGTATTATTATTTGTTCAAAGAAAGAGAGGAAAAACAGAGAAAATGGAAGAATTTGTTTCTTCTTCTTCAAATAATGTTTCAAATGAAAATAAAAAGAAATTGGATTCATTTAAATTGGTAGCTGCTTCTTCTTCTCCTTCATCATCGTCATCGAAATTAATTCGTCTTTCTGCAACAACAACTACCTTGCTCCTCCTCTTCTTCTTCATTTGTACCCTTGTTTTCACTCGATGGTTTGATGTTGTAAGTCTATTTTCTCTCTTATCTTTTTCGTCTTTCTACTCTTCATTCTCCTTAGAAATTTGTTTTTGATAGAATCTTCAAGTTAATTCATAGCAATAATACTATTCCGTACATTTTAACAATGTTGTTGTAATGTCGTTGATCATTCCTTACTTTTTTTTCAACAATTTTTAAGTGATTCGTTGTTCACCTTATTATCACTTATTTTATGAAATATAAGTTCAGATAAAGTTTAATAAATTTAAATAAGTTGTGATAAGGGTTAATCAGGGTTACTCAAGTTCAATTTATAACTAAAATAAGCTCTAATAAAGACTAATAAGTTCAAATCAAATCAGATAAGTAGAAATCAGGTGAATGTATAGAATGCACCCGTAGTCGTCTATGACATGGCCAATGATGAGATTATGAGGGGATGCAAATCAAAGAGAATATTGATAATTGGAAACTATATATTCTTAATTAGCATACCTAATATATAAGATTTTGAGGGGAAAAAACAATTATGGGAGATATGTAATTAAGGGAATATTGGAGGGTATAACTCGCTTATTTAGACACAATTTTCTTACCTAATTAAGGGAGTCAAAGATTTTACAAAAGAAAATATTAAATATTAATTTGTTGTCTTATTGGGTGATAATTAATGGACAAAAGTTAGAAAAATCAAATAATTAAAATAATTAATGGTCAAACATTATCACAGGAAAAATTAGTCGGCATTAGAGTAGAGTATGACCTAGTTGAACACATATAAGCCTAATAGAGTTTCATATTAAATTAATTGAATAATTGGTGATAGTTGAAGTAGCGACCTGTTTTATATTTTTATTCATTCATTCTCCCTTTATATCTTCAATACGGGACTAGTTTAAACTCAATGTTAGGAAACATTAGCAAAGGTTCTAACCTTGTGAGGGGTGCAATCGGGCAAAGGGGCGAGGGAAGGGAAATACCGAAATAGAGGTCAGGGGTTGCACAATAAGCTTTGCTTGATTACCCCTTCTAACAATGTAACTTGTACATAACTTTAATAATTGACATACATTTCTATTAATTGACCAAGTACGTACTAACCAATTTTATTTTTTAATCTTTTGGTGCATATTCCTCAGTCAAGGTTATTAACCTACTCAATGCTACTTAACAACAACTACAATTACAAGTACCCAAAGAAAGATGAATATCAACTCAACTGCACCTCAAGTAACATGAACATAACATGTCCATCAAACTACCCTCTTACAACATACGATCTCAATTTCGAATCCAACGAAACATGCCCCGAGTACTTTAGATGGATACACGAAGACTTGAAAATATGGAAGGAGAATGGTATTACAAGAGAAATGGTGGAGAGTTTGCAAGAAAATGGTACACATTTTAGATTGGTTATTGTGAATGGAATAGCTTATGTTAAACAATATGATAAGGCTTACCAAACAAGGGATACTTATACATTATGGGGCATATTGCAACTCCTTAAGTTGTACCCTGGTAGACTACCTAACCTTGATTTGGTGTTCCAATGTCATGATCTAACATCCATCAAAAAAGACGATTATAAAGGAACAAAGGCCGCCTTTGCACCTCCACAATTTCATTATTGTGGGGATGATTCTACGTATGATATTGTCTTCCCTGATTGGTCTTTTTGGGGCTGGTAAGTCATCAATTGTTTCAATAATGTATGTAGTATGTTACATTTCATCTAAGAGATGAATCACTAGTCAATGGCGGATTTATGTAGGTGCCTGGGTGGTACGGGCCCCACCAAAATTATCTTAGATGTCTTTTTTTTAGTTTAAAATTAAGTTATATTGATGATATAAAAAGTTATGTCTTCATAATTATTCACTAAATATCCCTCCAAATTTAATAGATTCACCTCTGTCACTATTTATGAATATCAATCATAATGTCTAAAGTGTATTATAAGGCATTGCTCTTATTGTGTAATCATGTATGTGCAAATATGATATAAAAGGTTATGTCTTCATAATTATTCACTAAGTATCCCTCCAAACTTAATAGATCCGCCTCTGTCACTAGTTATGAATATTAATCATCTCATGTCTAAAGTGTATTATTAGGCATTGCTCTTAGTGTGTAATCGTGTATGTGTAAATGTCTTTTGCATTATTTCAGGCCGGAAATTAATATAAAGCCATGGGTGCCCTTGTTGAAGGATATCAAAGAAGGCAACCTTGTGAAAAATTGGACTTCTAGGGAGGCCTATGCTTATTGGAAAGGAAATGTGTATATCGGTCCAAGACGCGAGCTTAAGAAATGTAATTCCACAAATGATTGGAATGTTGTAATTGTCAAACAGGTAATTTCAATCTATATTACTCTATATGACCATAATTAATGCAAGAGTTTTTAATTTCTTGTGTGTACAATTTTACGTTTATATACAAGTATATGGTGAACGTTCACAAACTCCCAATGATGTTGTAATCGAAAAATGAAAATAAAAAATGATCAAAGTTATGCTTAACAAAAGTGTAGTGCTGACTAATGCATTGCACATTGATAGGATTGGCGCAAAGAAGAAGAGGATGGGTTTAGGAATTCTAATTTGTCAAAGCAATGTAATCATAGGTATGTTTTCTTTTAATATTTAACTTTTTTTTTAAATCAAGGTCTAAACTACAACAAGCGGTTTTTTTTTTTTTTTTTTTTTTTTTGCCACACCGTGTGATCTCTAGCAAAAAAACAGAATAATCCCACTATAACACTTACCGAGTAATTCTATAACAATAAATGAGTAACCCATTATAACATTGACTGAACGGTATGACCAGCCACATATAAGACTGTATAAGAATTAGTGAAATTACATTTTTTTTATATATATATATATTTTTATTTGTAGATACAAGATATATATGGAAGGATATTCATGGTCAGTGAGTGAAAAATACATTCTAGCTTGTGATTCCATGACCATTTTGATAAACCCCAAATATTATGAATTTTTTACAAGAAGCTTAATTCCTATGGTGCATTATTGGCCTGCAAACCCTGATAACTTGTGTCATTCTATCAAATTTGCGGTTGATTGGGGCAATAAAAACACTTACAAGGTTAGTTTCCCTCTTATACAAGAGAATGTCAAGTTGAATATTCAAAATAATTCCGGAATAAGATTCTAATTTTTTTTTTTTTAATTTTATATTATTAATTATTATTTTTGGCTAAAATTGAATTAATGGATGTATAAACAGGCTCAAGAGATTGGCAAAGCAGGAAGCAAATTCATATTCAATCAAATAAAAATGGAAAATGTGTATGATTACATGTTTCATTTGTTGAATGAATATGCAAAACTACTAAAGTACAGGCCCACTATACCTGAAGGGGCCATTGAGTTATGCTCCGAGAAATTCGCATGCAGCCTAATGGGCTTGGAGACTACTTTTAAAAAGGAGGCTATGGTTAATGGGCCTTCGAAACATGGCCCATGTAAACTTCCCCCACCTTATGATCCAAACACACTACAAGCTATTGTTGATCGAAATGCCAAGATCAAACAAGTTGTTGAGATGTGGGAAAAGGGAAGTGCCTAGTATATCATAATTTCATACTTGAGACAATGTGTGTTTTCAATTTTAGACTAAAATGTGAAAATGTGGTTATCATGTCATATAAAGTGTTAATGCATTTCTGATGTTGATTCAGAATACCAATCTATTTCTATTGAATATTACTAAAACAAAATATGTTGACATCATCAAAGGACACTTGTCGACTTTTTATGAAATTTTTTCTCGCCAAAGCTATTTTTGACATCATCATCTATTTTCCTATTTTTTTTTTCTTCCTAAAACAAAACATGTTGACATCATCAAAGGACACTTGTCGACTTTTTATGAAATTTTTTCTCGCCAAACCTATTTTTGACGTCATCATCTATTTTCCTATTTTTTTTTTCTTCCTAAACAACTACAATATTTCTGTCAAAACTAATTAATGAGTTATTACACATTTTTGAATACAAATATTGACAACTATTTCAAACAAGTAATATCTATTTAAGCCGTGCAACACACGGAATAAAACTAGTGCACTAATAATTGTCAATATTTGAAATATCGTGTTACAACAAATCTCTTCTTACAATATACACATAACCTTAAAAAAGACATTTATGTTTCTCAACCAAGAATACTAAGCAACATTTTTCTTTTGGTGTGCAAACAAAGAGGGATGATCAAACTAAGCCCGATTTGGCCTAGCGTGAAAAATGCCCAAGTTTGGACAGAGTTTTTGGGATAGAAATTCAGACACGAGCTAGTCCGTCCCTAACCAACTCTTTTTTTTTTTTTTTTTAGTTTTTTCCGCTAGAAATTCAGACACGTGCTTTGTAATATTTGGTTACAAGAAAACGTTATGTGTGATCTTATTTGAATGTTCTCAATGTAAATTATATTAATATCTGCTTTTTATAATTTTGCAATGTTAATGATAAGAAATATTGATTGTTAAATTTGTGCATTAGAATCTTGATAATGAAACGTATCAATTAAAAAAAAGTAGTACAAGTACATATTTTAGTTAAAATTTCAGCTCCTTCAGCCCATTATTATTATATCTAAAATAATGGTTTTACTTTTTCGGCCCAAACTTGGGCCCAACCAGAAGAGGACCACCTTTTAAGCCTAGGCCCAGCCGATGAACAAGTCTAGTATAAGTATATGTTTACACAAATCCTAGTATTATTATTTGTTCAAACAAAGAATGAGGAAAAAAACAGAGAAAATGGCAGACATTGTTTCTTCTTCTTCAAATAGTACTTCACATAAAAAGAAAAGAAAATTGGTTTCATTCAATTTGTTATCTAAATTTTCTTCTTCATCATCGTCGTCATTTAGTGCAACAACAACTACCTTGCTTCTCTTATTCCTTTTCATTTGCACCTTTGTTTTGATTCAATGGTTTGATATTGTAAGTCTATCTTTTTCTTTTTTTCATTGCTCATTTCCTTTTAGTTTAACTATATTTTATTTGTTATGATTAATTTTATGCTTACTTTTATTTTTATTTTTTTTAATTTATTATTATTATTATTATTTTTAAAAACGTCTATATATTTTTTATTTGCAAGTCCTTTTGATTATTATTTTTCTTTGACTAATATTTATTTATTTATTTTTTTTTTTAAAAAAAAAACTATGACATGGCTAAGATGAGTCTATGTACTTTGTAGGGATGCAAATGAAAATCAAAGAGAACATTCTTAATGTGGAAACGATGTTTTCTTACCATATAGACATAGTACATAAGATTTTGAGAATTAAATATATTCATTTATAGAAGATATGCAAGGGAATAATGCATAACTTTCTTATATTGACATACTGATCTAATTAAAGGATCAGGTAAAATATTCTACAAAAAGAAATTAATTACTCCGTAATATGTTTTTCTTTTGGTGCAAATTACTCCGTAATATGTATTTGTTGTCTTATTGTGTACTAATGGGAACAAGTCCTAAAAATCAAAATACTTAAAATAATTAATGATCAAAATTATGTGTTAGCAAAAATGGATCTATTAGGCCGGGGATAATATATCTACATCCTTTGATAATTTGGAGATCTATTTTTTTGGAAAACCAACTCCGTACGGAGTAAAAAAATGAAAATTTGATCTGCAAAATAAAATAGTTGGTTATAGTAATGAAAATTTGCAAGTCCAACGAGTATATATATTCTTTGATTTTTTTAAAATAAAATAATACACGACAATTTTATAACAAATTTAAAAATGCGTTAATCAAAATATATATGGCTACATAACTTCATTTTATTTCTTGCAAAGTAGCAAAGATTCAGAGTGCTTGAGAGTAAAGGAGTACTAAGATTGAGAATCCCTCTACTTCCAAGCGATTGTAGATTATAAGGATTGAACTTGTGACCTCAAAATCACAACGTAAATTCCCTATAATCTAATTATCTCTACTAAGTTTGCTTGGTTTATATATGACATGCACTCGTCATTTATACATATCAATCTACTAGTACAAAGAGTATGTACGTAGTAACGTAGTTGTAGTGTGGTACTAAACAATTATGTTTTTCTTAACACTATTTTGGTGCATATTTTTCAGTCAAGTCTAGCAAGCAGCACAAGGCTATTCACCTACTCAATGCTATTTAAAAACAACTACAATTACAAGTACCCAAAGAAAGATGAGTATCAACTCAACTGCACCTCAAGCAACATGAACATAACATGCCCAGCAAACTACCCTCCTACAACATACAATCTCAACTTCAAATCGAACGAAACATGCCCCGAGTACTTTAGATGGATACACGAAGACTTGAAAATATGGAAGGAGAACGGTATTACAAGAGAAATGGTGGAGAGTTTAGAAGATAAAGGTACACATTTTAGATTGGTTATTGTGAATGGAATAGCCTATGTTAAGCAATATGGTAAGGCTTACCAAACAAGGGATACCAATTCATTTTGGGGCATTTTGCAACTTCTTAAGTTGTACCCTGGTAGACTACCTGACCTCGATTTGGTGTTTCAATGCGAAGATCTACCAGCCATTAAAAAGCACGATTATAAAGGAACAAAGGCCACCTTTGCACCTCCACAATTTCATTTTTGTGGGGATGATTCATCCTATGATATTGTCTTCCCCGATTGGTCTTATTGGGGCTGGTAAGCGATCAATCATTTCAATTATGTATGTTTCGTTATAATGAAAATTTTAATGTAGTCTTATGACTTTTGATTACCATAATTTTTTTCTTGTAAAAAAAAAAATAAAAAAAATACCACACTTTTTTAAAATAGACGGCTGCGATTATTTATTTTCCGATTTATTTTTTTAATTATTTTATATATTTTTATTTTCAGACTTTCAAAAGACAAAATTACATGTAAAATATTTTTAATTAAAAATAAATCAAGAAACAAATAATCTTAGTCGTCCATTATAAAAAAAAAAAAAATTGTGATAGTCAAAAGGCATAAGACTACAATAAAACCATCATTCGTTTTAAGAGATGGTCCACATTGTATACTATATAAAGTCATGTGAATTAAATGTCTTTCATTCGCAAAATTAATTTCAGGCCAGAAATCAATATTAAGCCGTGGGTGCCCTTGTTGAAGGATATAAAAGAAGCCAACCCAATGAAAAACTGGACTTCTAGGGAGCCTTATGCTTTCTGGAAAGGAAACTTGCATAATGGTCCAAGACGCCAGCTTAATAAATGTAATTCCACTAATGATTGGAGCACTGTAATTGTTAAACAGGTAATTATATTACAATCCTTATGGAAAATGTCTTATCTAGATCTATCAACATATAATAAACATTGAGCTAAGTGTATACCATCTATCTTATGGTTATATGTAAGTAAATAAGTATTTAGAGAATGTTCACAAACACCTATAATTCTACGAGTATATCAAAAAATAAAAATATAAAATGAGAATCATATATTCATAAATCATGCTTAATAAGTTGGAGTATATTGCTAACTAATGCAGTGCACATTGACAGGATTGGCGCGAGAAAGAAGCATTTAGGAACTCTGATTTGTCAAAGCAATGTACACATAGGTATGTACTCCGTGTATCTTTAACACTAGACTACTTTTTTTTTTTTTTTTTTTCTTGAATACAATATTTTAATTAATTTTTAATTTTTTACAGATACAAGTTATATATGGAAGGAATTTCATGGTCAGTGAGTGAGAAATACATTCTAGCTTGTGATTCCATGACCATTCTGATAAACCCTAAATATTACGACTTTTTTACAAGAAGCTTAATACCTATGGTACATTATTGGCCTGCAAACCCTGATAATTTGTGTCAGTCTATCAAATTTGCTGTTGATTGGGGCAATAAAAACACTCACAAGGTTAGTTTCTAATTTTTGAATAAGAGTCTAATTTTTTTTTTCAAAAAAAATCTTATATTATTAATTATTATTTTTGACTAATACTGAATTAATGGATGAATAATTAGGCTCAAGAGATTGGAAAAGCAGGAAGCAAATTCATATTTGATCAAATGAAGATGGAAAATGTGTATGATTACATGTTTCATTTGCTAAATGAATATGCAAAACTATTAAAGTATAGGCCCACTATACCTGAAGGGGCCATTGAGTTATGCTCCGAGAAATTTTCATGCAGCCCAATGGGCTTGGAGGCTACTTTTAAACAAGAGACTATGGTTAATGGGCCTTCCAAACATGGCCCATGTAAACTTCCCTCACCTTATGATCCAAACACACTTGAAGCTATTATTGATCGAAATTCCAAGATCAAACAAGTTGTTGAGATGTGGGAGAAGGAAATTGAAGTGGCTAATTTACCATGATTTCATACTTGAGACTTGAGAGTTGAGAGTTGAGATATTGTATTCATTTAATTTTGTAATTTTCAACAATTTGACTTTCTAGTTTGGCAACTCACATTCTGTTATTAAATCGTTATACTTCTATTATGGATAATGTTTTAAGGGAAATAAAAAATAAAAAATAAAAAACCTTTTCAGTACTAGTATTATAAAGATGTAATCGTAATTAACACTGTTAATGTTCACCTTACTTTAGGATAAATAAGTTCTAGGGTTTGAAAATTTTGAGAGAATAATTTTAATAACATTATAAGCGTACAAAGTTTATATAAGTTCACAATAAATATTTTGTTAATTTTATGTCGGAAAGTAAGTCGGATTAGAGAAGTCGTGAGGTGGTGTGCTTTAGAATGTTTTTTTTTTAGAAAATTTCCTTATTAGTTTCCATTTTTCCAAAAAAAAAAGCGAAAGCATAACGACATCACGCCACATCCCATACCGGAAACATAACCCCACCAACAATATTATACTCCAAGTGTACTACCAAGACTTTCCAATTAGCTCAACTATACTTGTATAATTAAGCTTTATTATTCTCTAAACAAACACTACATACTTGAATTAATTTCAAACACAAAAATGGAGGAATCTAATAATCTTCCTTCTTCTTCTACTACTCCAAAATTCTGGAATTCATTCAATTGCTTTAATTCTTCATCAACATCAAGATCGAGATGGTTTTCTGCAACAACAGCTTCTTTGTTGCTCATTTTTTTTCTTCATTTCTACTCTCCTTTTTACTCACTATTCCGATTATATTGTAAGTTTTATTTTTATTTTTTTTATTTTTTTATTTCGAATTTTCTTTTAATTTTTGCTTTAACTTTGATGATTTAATCTTCTTGTTGATTTATCTCGAAGCTTGAATATTTTTTTTTTTTTGTTTTGTGATTGTTTGAAAATAAGGTTCTATAAAATCAATTAAATTATTCTAAAATAATGCTTTAATTTGAATAACATCAAATACGAATAGTACTTACTTTGAATTTGTTGATAAAATTTACCTAATCCGTTAGGAAGCAAATAAGCAACAAATTAATTACTATTTTAATATATAAAAAGAATTGTGTGAAGTTTCCTAAAATAGTGAAATTAAATCGAAGAGGCGTTTAGACTGATAATTGTAGCTGTAGGAGTTGCACATGTTGGGGTCATAATTGGTCCTTTGAAAATGTGGGAATCGTTGGCCACGTGACTTGATGCTATTTGTACAATTGTACATCACTAACGTACTCCGTATACGGAGATACGGAGTACTACTATTTTTTAAGACCTATAAATATGTGAATCACTAAATACGATCAACAATTTCTAAGCAAGTGGATAAATGTATAGAAACATGTATGGACTATTGAGCATTGTATTTTATGGCTCATATTAGTCATTTTAACTCGAGTGTGGGTGGATAAATGTATAGAAACATGTATGGACAATTGAACATTGTATTTACGGCTCATGTCAGTCATTTCAATTCGAGTGTGGGTGGATAAGTGTGTAGTATGGAAGTTGAACATTGTATTGGATGATCACTCGTAGTTGTGCAACATATGAGTTATGTGTTGTATACAGAAATTCAGACCATCAAATTGGTGATTGAATATTTGGATATTTATCAGAGCCCTATAAGTTGAGTACTTTGTTATTGTCACAATTGGTTTATCAGAAAACTCTATGTTTATATGTGAGATATTATATGCGGTTGTTATTATGTAATTATGGACCAATTTGTGTCATAATCTGAGACAAAGATTTTGTGTTGACCATCCTAAGGGCTAGGCCCATGGACCACCTTTACTCCATAAGTTTTTCACTATAACTGTTGATTGATCTTGCTAGCCCATGGCCTACCCAATACGTCGTGCAAGGCTTTTGCGAAACGTGGCTCAGTCACGGTCCACCCAGGGCCCGTGTGCACCTGTTTGAGTACAACCTACCAGACTACCACCAAGGCACCATACTTAGAATTAGGCACCCTTTATATTTCCCATATTGCAAAACAGAGAGAAATAAACCTCTTCACTCTATTAGATGGAATTGTGTTTCACTTATCATACTAGAAATCTTCATTTCGAAAGTAGGAACTAGGAAACAATCCTAATCTATAACCTTTCATTTTGAATATTCCATTTGCAATAAGTTTACAAGTCGTATATACATTCATAATTCATCTATAGGATATTACATTTTTACTGAACTAGCTTTATATGCTGATCAAACAAGTGTATTGAGGTGTTGATTTTTGTTTTTTTGGGAAGTATTTTCCTCAGTCAGCTTCAGCAGGCAACTCAGTGCTATTCAACTACTCAATAATGTTCTCCAAAAACAACAATCACGAATATCCAAAGAGAGATGAATATCTCCTCAACTGTACTTCAAGCAACATGAACATAACATGCCCTGCAAATTACTCACCTAATACATTCAATAGCAACAATTTCACATCAAACCAAACATGCCCTGAGTACTTTCGATGGATACACGAGGACTTGAAGACATGGAAGAGCCAAGGGATCACAAGAAAAATGGTGGAGAGATTGAAAAAGGATGCTCATTTTAGATTGGTTATTGTGAATGGAACAGCATATGTTAAGCAATATGCAAAGGCTTACCAAACAAGAGACGACTTTACATTGTGGGGTATATTGCAGCTCCTGAAGTTGTACCCTGGGAGACTCCCTGATCTTGATTTAATGTTCCAATGCCATGACAAACCATCTATCAAGAGGAAATACTATAGGGGATGGAGGGCTGCCTTTGCTTATCCTCAGCCTCCTCCACAGTTTCACTACTGTGGAGATGACTCAACTTTCGATATTGTCTTCCCTGATTGGTCATTTTGGGGCTGGTAATCATCAGTTAAACCACTTTTTATGATCTTGATTCTAGATAATGTTTAATGTTGTCACATCCATAACAATTATTTATCATCACTCATTAGTTTTCACTTTGCAATCATGTGATGCTATATGGTTGAGCAGAAACTGAGTTAATTTTTGTAAATTTTCAGGCCAGAAGTCAATGTAAAGCCATGGGTGCCTTTGGAGAAGGATTTACAGGAAGGTAATGCGATGAAGAGCTGGACATCTAGGGAGCCCTATGCATTTTGGAAAGGGAACTTACATAATGGTCCAAGACCTAAGCTTGGGAAATGCAATTCTATAAAAGACTGGAATGCTCAGGTCATTGACCAGGTAATCATCTTCCTTTAATTTCATTCAAGCAACATGGCCCCCATAAAGTCGAGCCTGTCTGTTGGACTTGGCCGCTGACCACCTCTGCTTGTTAAATAATGACAAAAGCCGCAAAACTATTTGCAGGATTGGATCAAGGAATGGAGAGAAGGGTTCAAGGACTCAGATTTGTCGAAACAATGTGTTCACAGGTGAATTATTTTTTATCCTTTTTTTTTTTCCTTGCTCCCTTCCACATCCAAATATGGATGCTAGTTAATATACTTATGTTTTGGGTGAAAAATTAACTGCACGCAGGTTCAAGATATATATGGAGGGAAATGCATGGTCAGTGAGTGAGAAAATACATTCTAGCTTGTAACTCCACAAGCCTTCTTATAAACCCTATATACTATGATTTCTTCACAAGAAGCTTAATCTTAATGAAGCACTATTGGCCTGTAAGCGATAAGCACATATGCAAGTCCATCAAATTTGCTGTTGAATGGGGCAACAACAACACTGACAAGGTAATTTTCTGATTTTACCTCTGTTTTATCATTATAAGGTATTCCTCATGATGTAGAAGCTGAAACTTGACCATTAAATGTGGTTACCTCTGTTTCATAGTAATTAGCTATCACCCTAATTCATGTTAATCGAGTGAATGAATGTAAAAACAGGCCCAAGAGATTGGAAATGCGGGGAGCAAGTTCATATTTGATCAGATAAAGATGGAATTAGTGTATGATTACATGTTTCATGTGTTATATGAATATGCAAAGCTGCTTAAGTATAAACCTACTGTGCCTGAGGGAGCAGTTGAACTTTGCTCAGAGAGATTTGCCTGCAGCCCATTGGGGTTGGAAACAACATATAAGATTGCGACCATGGTAAATGGGCCTTCGGAACGAGGCCCATGCCAACTTCCCCCACCTTATGATCCTCTTACAATTCAATCTATTCGGGATCGAAATGCCAAGATCAAGAAGCAAGTTAAGTCGTGGGAACCAAATGCTTGGTACGAATGGTAAGGGGGTGAGAGAGTTGTTCTACCTTAACCAAAGTTCTTGAGTATGAGCCTAGGTATACAACATTGATTGTAGGGAGATCTTTTCCTTGTTTGAGGCTCAATTAGGCTAGTAGCCAGATTAGTGGGTAGTTTACTTACAAAGGAGATTAGATGTTGTAAAAGGGTAGTGGCTGAAAAAGAAGAATTTTGAGGACAGTTTGTAAATTGACTAGATGATTCTTCAACTTATAAGGGTTAGATTGATTTTGATTTTTTTACATTTGATGGGTTGATTATTTGTATTCGAGAAGAAGCACGTATAGAGCCGAATGCCTATTAGGTATACCCAAGAATACATGGTAGTGATGGTACCTATTTCCAAGTGACAGATAAAATTATGTTCTAATTCTTGTACTTCCCTAGTGTACCTGATGGTTAGCGGAAAGTCCTTGTCTTTTTACACTTTGTTAGACCTTAAACAAAAGGAATACACTTTGGGATATAGCAATAGGATTATTTTTGAGTGAAACATATTTGTATACAACCGGAAAAACTTAAGACTCATGGACTTCAGAACTTGTATATTGGAAGTATATTTGTTATGGAGAATTGAAATTTGTTACCAGATTTTTTTTGAAAGTCAATTTAAATTTCCTGCATTATATGTGTTAGTTTGGTAATTTGTGAAATTCCTACTTCAGGATATTTTTTTTTAAACATCCTACCTCAGAAATTAGGATTTTGTTATTCTTGTGACTCTTGTCTAATTGAATGAGATG